TACATGTATTGGTCAACATTTCCTATACCATTCACACATGTGACGCTACTGACTGATCTGCTCAAAATAGCCACACAATTCTCGTGAGGGTGTGATAATAAATTGATTAAAATTCGATTACTGAGTAAACTGACAATTTTCCACCTTTATGACTCTCCACTGGATCATCTATAAATATGGTATTTCCCCAGAGCCCAGCTGACTTCAAGGATATTGTATCCAAAGAAAATATTGACTTTCGATCTCGATACGTGCTCATAAGGTATGCATAGGAAAAACAAAAATGTAACAACGCATATCGCCGTATACATAGCAATATGCCAACTTTTGGACTTTATACTTCACAAGAAACCGAGTGGAAATTAAAATGCGAAAATTAATATAAAAATTGTTTTGAAAATATCGCCCCTATCAACTGTATATTAAAATGTAGACGATATAACGTAATTTCACACTTCAGACAATCTTTTAAAACGCAAGTGAATGTATTTTTTTTATACTCTACCACTTATTTGAATTGACTTTATCCATCTGATTAATGAGTCAACTCCGGAAATAGCTCCTCATCAGCCAGAAGAATGAACAATGCACATAATTCAACTATACTTTCAATTAGAGTCAGAAGCCTCCAAATAAGAGTAAAAACATTACCACCAGTCCAATACCAACAAGAAACCATAAGACGTAAATATTAAAAATGAGTAGATGATACATAACTATCAAAAAGCATAATCCAAATGTAAAAAGGTTTAAAATGTATTATAAAAAATGAAATTTCAGTGAACTGCGTATCACTGACTGAAGTCAAAATCAATTAGGTAATTCTGAATATTTTAAACTGATAGAAGTAAAAAAAATACAAGCCAATGAATGCAGATGGGTCGATCAATTTAGCAAAAAAAAGTAGAATTTGAGGTTTATAAATATTTAATTTTTTAAATTTTGTACGAACATCCATAAATTGAAATGAAATATTTCAAAACACATTAGCGAAGAAATCCTAACGAAAAAAAGACAAGATACGCAATTCCGCACTTTAAGACGGAGAATGCATTTTTCTTTGGGCATCTTTTGCAACCCCAGGCGATCAATTTAATAAACCCGACTTCTTTGCCCGCCGGGTAGGCCATCGTTAAGCTTTACAACAAATAATACAAGAGTGTATATCAATTATAATGGGATTAACCTTGGTTCTGAAATGGAAAAAGTGTGTTTCCATTTCGCCTCAAGTAGACTATCGACAGCATCGACAAGAATCGACATTAATACTTTATCGGATATACATACAGACTTTCCCCTTTCATTTTCTCACTCCCAATTTCATTAGTTTGAGCATTTAGCCATTAAAATTTCAAATAAACTAATAAATTGCTATTTCTCCCACAAAATTGCCCAATGTCTTCCTTCTCTTCCATCAATATATTGCACACACAACCTTCCTTCTTTGGTACACGCGTGATAAAGCTCTGGGAAAAGAAAAGTTATCATGCGATGCATTTTGTGTCACGGTTGAAAGCTGAATGAGATGGAAACTGTGCGACACTTTTAGCATTAATCATTTTTCCAAGGGCATTTCAGGGAGAGAGATAATAAAATTCTCTCATGTCAGTGAATTTATTTTTCTCACGAAATTCATCTGCCGTGTTTTACTTACTCACTTAAGAAAAAAAGTGGTGGTGGCGGTGATATAAAATTTTCCGTAAATTTCCATGTCTTGTTGGCATTTCCCATCTGTCGTGAACAAGATAAATAAATTTTAGACCCAGACCCACATTTTCCTCATAATTATCTCCCCATCTCTTCACCACAAACGCAGCGTGTCAACTGGCGATTAATTTATCTCGACAACATTTATGGAAGTGTCTGGTGAAAGAAAATTTTCTTTTCCGCCGTATGTCATGCTGTGTTATTGACCCCAAGATTTTCCCTCTGCGCTAAACGAGAAAAAAAAATGAAAGACGTACATTCACCCAAAACACTTTCAATGTGCCTTGATATTTGCTATAAAAGATCGCCACAAACATAATTTATACACTGTCTCTCAGATTGCTAATTTCTTGCCAATCTATTTAATTCTTCCTCTTACCAAAAAAAAAACATACACATATTATAAGAAGACACTTGTCGGGTAAGCAACGATCAATTTTCACTGAATTTCATATTTAAGTATACAAACCATGTCAAATGTAACAATGGAAAAAAAATATGACACAAGCCACTTTTCTCCAGACATATTTTTGACACATCAGGAGAAAATTAACGCCCGTCTAGGTCACGATAGGGTAACAAAGAACCCATTTTTTGCCTCTCTGTCTTTTTGTTTCAATTCAATTTTCTAGCTGAGAGTATAAAAATATCATTGAAGAAATTTGATATAAATTCCAATCAATTGGCATTGATGTTCAATGAGAAAAAAAAGATTTATTTCTATGTGAGAAAGTACGGCAATTAATTCCGATTTTTTCTCCCTCCTCTTCGTTCAATGCATCTTATAGTATTTTCATTCATAATTCACGCGCAATTGGCAAAACTGCAACTCTCATATATAAGATTCCATCATTCATTCACATCGCGCATCCAAAAATTCATCGCATCTTCTTCTAACGCCATAAATACGAGAAACACGAACATTTTCTTTCATCATACGTCAGTTGTTTTCCACTCCGCATATAATGCAGAATCATCGAGATGTGATAGAAAATATCATGTTCAAATACAAAATAGAGGCTCGTCTGCGAGATAATTCAATAAATAGCCTCAAATGTGTTGATTGCCAGTGAGGCAAAATATGTATTGTGTTGGGAAATTTTTACATATAAAGAAAAATATACAACTATCACATAGAATTATGTGATATACCACGAATTAACCGCGTCCGTAATTAATATTATCCGAATTTTTATCAATTTATTAAATTAATTTGCGAAATTGCTTTAATGGAGCCAAATATTGAAGCTGCGCGAAAGAGCGAAAAGTAATGAGAGGTAAATTGCTTAGGTGTTTTTCGCGATAAACTGCGATAAAATATAGAACCGTGAAGCTCTAATTCGAAGAAGCAACAGTCACTTTTTCGTCATTGCTGTGCAAAAGAAGATATTTCTCACAATCTCTGTATATAGGATTAAACAAGGAGAAAAATATAAATCCCCACAACACTCATTTCCAGCTTTGACAGAGAGCCGTCAACATGATGAAATGTTCTCAACAATTTGTTATGTTTTATCAACAAAACAAACGACTCGCTATCACGACTGCCACAGGCCCCCAAAAACTCACAGAGCGACGCTCAGAGGAGGTGGTGTTAAAGGTCTTAAATGAGGTGACTCGTTGCCATTTGATGAAATATCGGGAATCCTATAAATAGATTCCTCTTTTGGCCACACCAAGATTATCTGACCTGTCTCCTGACAGCTTTGGAAGATTGTCTGTCGTCTTTTCGGTAAGATAAGTCATTCCGAAAATTGAAAATAAACCTCTTCCTCTGCACTCATGCACGGACAATTGTGAGCAATTTATAAATCATTCATGGCAAAGCCATTTGCGAGAGGTTGAGAGAAAAGCCTCAATATAACATTTCCGTTTCGAGTGGGTGAACTGCAATCACCACTCACTTGGCTTTTTGGTGAGATACATAACATTTGAATAAGACACCTTTACAGAAAACTAGTTTCACACCTTGTCTCCCAACTTCACGATTTGCCAAACACAGAAAGACTCGCCCTGTAAAAATGCCCCCAAAGATCAGAGGTGATGAGTGATTAGCTCTACTTTTCTAGATAAGGTTAATGATTTTGTTTACTCTATGATATTCTATTTATTCCAAGAATTTGCCATGTTGCCAAAAAATATAGGCTAGTAATTGCCTAAAATGTCTTATGCCACTCAAAAAACGAGTTACACAACAAAAACTGAACTGGATCGAGGCTTATGACAGTTCGGACAATATTTCACAACTATCGAGAGCAATTCTCTGACAAGTACAAGTATGTTCCCAGAATTGGTTTCACATCTATAAATTCACCAACTCTGTTTGAGACTCAATCAGACTGTCTCGCATAGGTAGTATTTTTGGGCGGTTGTTCTATTTCGAGTGCAATCCCACTAAATTCTGCCTCACCGTAAATTATTGAGTATTCAACAGCTCAGGCGAGTCCCTCGAAAGGTTACTTCACCCAGTGGTTCCCCTTTATTACAGAATTCCCTCTGTGAAGGGCGCCAATTGAACGAGAGCTTATGTGTAGGTTCGGCCCAAGTGACGCCAACACTTCACCTTTGGGAAATGTTGGGTAGTCTCGCTGAAAGTGGCACTGTGTCGCCCCAATGAGAATGGAATCCGAGGCAGAAGGTGATCTGGATGGTGGAATGAAACGTGAAAGGCTGTCGTCTGTGGTCGAGTTGAGTAGGGAATTTTTTCATTGTATATACAATACTTCTTCAATTATATTATTATTACACATGCTCTTTGCCCTCCCCGAAAGAGTGTGTCACCTTGCCGACTCACTGCGTGTCACTTGCAATATAAATCAACGCTCACACATTTTCTGCATGGCCCCAAACATTGAAGATGATTCGGCAAATTGACGGTGTCAAGTTCTTCATATAAGTGAGACAGTTACACAAAAAATTGCAATTTTGCGGGGCATTGTTTTTACCTACACGCTCATGCAATAAAACCTCACACTGAGACAGTATTGTGACTCTCTTCGTTCATTGTACACTCCCATTCTCAACATACCTATATATGTATGTAATAAAGTCGGAGGTTTTGCTTTAAATAATTAATGAAGTGAAAAAGAAACTATAAAATCCACGTGTCACAATTTATGGTCACTATTTTTGAATTTTTAACATCTAAAAACAGGGCAAATCGTAAAATTGTATATTTCAATTTGGAATATAAAGTAAAAAAAAAACACACATAAACATTTTTAACTAACCCTGTTCATCATGTAAGAGCTTTCCCATTATGGCTTTGAGTGGAACAAAAAAGAAATACTCACCTTTTCGCATTAATGTGTTCAACATGTGAAGACGCTCCGTTGCACTTGTTGCCACAAGAGGTGGATTTGAGCTGAGAATGCCATTCCCATTGGCCGTGAGGTTCGAAAAGTCAGGATCGTCAGCATCAAAGAGAACACTGTCCTCCCATTCGGACACTGTCCGGCCGTCAGATCTCATTTCTCTGCTCGCTCTCTTGGCACAGGAATCTACTTGACAGTCCACTCCACCTCTTAGTCAGTTGACCTGAACAGAGCACATGAGAGAAAAAGGCCATCAATTAGAACATCACGCGCGAAAGATCCTCAATAAATATTGTTGCCTCAAATTGGAGCAAGACAAATCCTTTTCCGCGCAATATTTCACCAAGCCATGTCATTCACATGATCCAGAAAAAGCATCTCCATCAAATACAAACAATTTCGCGTCTCGCGAGAGCGTGTGGCGCGCAGTTCACTGAACGTATTTTGGAGTATTATGTGAGATTGGAGAAAAGAGATCATGAGTCGCAATCTTCTGCTGAATTTTAAGTGAGTTGCTATGCTAATTTCGTCGCTTTTTTGGACTACAAAGACGCTTGTACCACCCCATCGCCTCGGCATGGCCTCAATCCCTCTATCCGAAAAAAAACCATCGGAGCCAGAAGGTGTTGACAAGAAACGAAGAATCTCTCGCACTCGTCAAAGTCAAATTTGTGATAATTTCTGGGGCAAATAGGTCGACAATTGACGAATCAACGAATTAATTTGCGTAGAAATGAGAAGAAGCGCGATCCACACACCAAAATCACGGTTGGAGATCAAATATTATTGTGTGTAAAAGCCAGTTGGGATGTGTTTCCATGTGGTGATATCAATCAAAAACAACTCCATGCTAATTTCCCTTCAAAATTGACACAGAAAAATCAACTTTAAACACTCCTCGAGAAGATTCTCTCTCCTTCTCGCGTGTTGCCAACGACAGAAAAAAAACACCCAGACTTCCCCTGATAAGTGTCCCTGATAAAGTTTTGAGATTTCCTCAGGGGATCAAGTACAAAAGTGAAAGCCAAAAATTTGCTATTTTTACACCTCTTACCCAAGAAAAGGTGATTATTTTAAAGCACACAAATGTATCAATTTTTGTCGCTATCTCAATTTCGATAACGAAAATTTCAAAGCAAACCAGAAGAATCGATTTTTTCTCTCTCTTGGTTTCAGGGAAAAATTAGCATAAAGTTGTCAGTGTGTCTGCTTCTGGAGCATGATGAAACTCTCAAAGATCATTTCTTCATCTGATAAGTGTGAGTCGCATAAAGGGAAAATAGGAAATCACTCCCAAACAGATCGTAGAATATGGGAAGTAAATGATAAGTATAATTATATGTCAACTATTTACATATTTTCTCATGATTAACAGATTTTCCTAACTTCATAGCCTTTCGGACTGTCTCAACAAAGAAGAAGAAAACGTGACAAGCCTGAACAATTGTCTAGGGCTTGTTCAATTTTTTATTGTTTGATAACACGAATTAATTTGTGAGATGTTGATTGATTCTCTTTTATCACTTGATATTGAAAATGAATGCCAGCGATGAAGTGCCTAAGAAAATTGAAATAGAATTTGATTCAAATATTCTTATTCCAATCCAAATTGTGTTTCTCAATTGATTCTTTTTGACCATTTCATTGCTTTCTCATGGAAAATTTTCTACTTTTCGCCCTCTTTTTGTGCTTCATTTCACCACTTATGGCTCTTTTCTGGTTCTACTTGGAAATATCTGCTAAACACTTGAAAAAGCACCAAGTAATTGTTGCGGAGGCGACAAACTTTTTTCACCCAATTTGTCAGTTGAGAAAATAACATTATTCTCGACATTGACATTGCCATTATCACGTGTGCACATCACGAGATTTTTTCTCTGGCATCTCAAGTGCTATTTGCAGATAGAAACAGACATTTATTGACGCAAATGCTGAGGGTTTAGCAAATTTCTCGATCGCGCTTTTTCACTACTTATTATCCGGAAAGGAATAAATTCAATTGTTGTCCACAGCCTATGAATGGGAAATCGCGCGACAAACAATCAAGCATGCAAAGTGTGGTAAAAAATAATACATTTTAATTGTGGTATTTGGAACATTTTCAAGACACTTCCGCTTGTAGAAATTCTAGACTCTCCTTGCATTTTCTGCGCAAGTATTCCCAAGTGCGACGACCCTTTTTCTTCCCCCAGCGAATCGTTCACGCTGGACTTAATTAATTGTTTGTGGGGCGCGCATTAACATCGAATATCGCTAAAGTGTCTCTTTTCGGCTGCTCTTTTCCCTCTCACTCTCGCACGGAATTCTGCACCGTTATTGAGACAAAAGTGCACACGTCTTCGAGGGCATACAAAATTAGCTGTTGCAGCGGAATGTTGCTAAAAAGAGCATAAATTCCTCATGTGAGACACAAAACTTCTTCATTGCGCCTCATCGTCCATGACCATGTGCGTGCGTGCGAGCGAGAGAGCTTTGGTCCAAAGAGTGGCAAGAAAAAAGTGGCGGAGTCTCGCCATGGGGGAACACATAACCTCACATTTCCCCACCCCAAATATAGGCAACTCACCTTGTCTCCGCTTTCGCGTGTATTTCGCTCTGATGTCTGGAATTTTCCTCAATCTCCTCCGCAAATTGCACACCAAATGGCCCCTCCACAGGCGACAATAGCAGTCACACAGTCCAAAAAAGTGGCGAATTAGTAAAATCCTCAGAAATTTGGGTAGAAAAGTTAATGTAGAAAGTATGTGAAGCACTCCAAACAAAGTCCAATGTGAACAATTAACGCCTGACACAATGCGAAACTCTTCAAAATTCCAAGTGCACTCAATTTGACAAGTGCCTGAGACACTCGAGATTGATTTTCACCGGGAATACTGATAATTTGCAATGTGTATCGAGCGAAAATCCTCCAATTTTCCTGGTCGCGATGCAAACACTCAGACTGTTGCACTAGTACTGCCCTCCGCCGTCTTGTGTGGTGGCGTTCAATTCGCCTTGCTGTGTGTTCCTGATTTCTGGCAGATGGCGCGGATTGCTATTCGGAATATTTCCCGCGAAAATCATACACCCAATTCACGATCTTATAAAAAAAAACACACACACAACTAGAAAACCCGAAATTCGCTGAAGACACATTAATTCTCTGTTAGGCCTTTTAATATTGCACTAAATGATTGGAGAAGCAAAAAACCTTAGGAGGAAACTTTCTTCATTCAAATAAAACATCTAATTTATACAAAATATTTAAAATAATCAACAAAAAGTAGTTTACACAGAGGTTTTTAAATATAAATATTGGTTAGAGGGATTTCTACGCATTCTTGCTATTTTCCAACTGTTGCACGATGTGGCGCGACACGATTTCTGTGGCATTGCTCGCATTGGGAATCAAAAATCTATCCATGTCCGTGATCAGCAGTGTCTCACCATCCGGCACGCCGTATTTGAATGTGATCAAGTCTCTGTGACGTCGCTTGGCGGTGATTTTAACAATGCTGGACAGATGACGACGCACGATCACTTGACTCTGCCCCTTTCCTAAGTCGCGCAGCACCACCAAGTGTGTCTTCGTCACGATGAGATGACTATCAAACATGCGTCCATTGAGCTGCACTTCCTGGCAGCGGAAACTCGTGATAACGTCCGGTTGCTTGAGGAAGGCCTGCAACTGGACAATCTCCTTGGCGTCAGTTTCATCCACAGGCACGGATTCCGCCTCTCCAGTTGGTGAATGCGCTGGCTCTTCACTCTCATCGTCAATACTGAATACCGGAGCGACATTTCGATATCTTCGGCCATTCTTCTCAGATGCCGAGACGTGCTTCTCCACCACATTCGGGGCATTGACACTGTTGGCACTCGTCGCAGGATTCACGATGTACTCAAACAGTTTACCCTTCACCTCGGCCGATTTTGACTTAAGCGAAGCGCCCCACTTGCTGAACAGATCCGCCGTGATCTTCGCCTGAGGTGTCTGTGATGTTGAAGACGTCTGTGCCGAAGTGTTGCTGGAATTCTTTGCTGTATTGTTGTTCCTCGCGTGGGAAGAGTTACCGCAGCAGACCAAGCATCTGCACAGACAAAGTCACCAGAGATAGAAAATAAAAGAGTCAACTTTGCGGTCAATTCTCATACCTGTGCACATCGTGATCTTCCAGACAGTCGATCATGTGGTCGCCAAAGTACTCGTGAATGGCCGCATAGCCGCCCGTGAGGAGTGACACATAGTTGGTGTTCTTCTGCAGGAAAGATGCCACCACCATGTGTGTGTACTGGTCTTCCTCATCGCGTCCAGAACCCATGAAGCAGAGATGTTCACCGCCAGCGTTGGAGTTCGCCTCAATCGATTGGCGCTGAGCTCTTAGAAGACCCTGGACGGCAGTGGCGAATGCCACGGGCTCTTGCAGCATGAGATTGCTGTCCAGATGAAATGCCGTGGACAAGTGGCCAACATTATACTGCTCAGCCGGACGACAGTCCACCAGGAAGAAGCGCACGGCCTCCGGATGGGGAGTCTCCATCGACGCATTGTCTACCAGCTCGTACACAGAAACTGGCAGACAGAGCGCCTGAGCCACAATTGGATCCAGTGGAGAATCCACATGGGCGCCAAACAGTGTCTGCAGAAGATCCGTCTTGAAGGATGAGGGCGTCTTCATGGCATAATACTGTGCCAGCGAGCAAAAGTCCACCACATCGTCCGGCTCCAGGGCGCACGGCATGTTGCTGAGGTACTCCACAATCTTCTCCTTGGACTCATCTTTCATGGCCAGAATCTTGTCGCGCACATTCACCAGCATGATGAGACTGAGGTAGAACACGAGGTACGGATCGGCCTGCTGGAAGTACAAATCCCACATCGACAGAACCACCGGCAGCGTACAAGTGGCACCGAAGAGGCTCTGGAACCACGACTGCGAGTAGAGATCGGGCGTTATGCGCTTCGTGTCCAGCATGGAGCACAATTCAGGGTCGTGATAGAGGATGAGTAGGCGGAACAGGTGGAACACGTTGCCCTGCTTCACGCAACCCTTTGGGATGTAAGCATCGCGGATGGCTTCGAAGAGATTGTAAGTATCAGACCTGCAAATTGCACAGAAAGTGTCTTTAGAAACTCACCCAATGCAATCCTAAAATATTTTCAAATGAATAACCGGATTTGAAGCAAAGCGTGGCAATAATCTACATTTCCAGACACTGCAGACTAGTTCCCTGGCAATTTAAACGATGATAACATCAAGAACATGAGAATGCAGCATATGATTTTAAATTTCTCTCAAATAATCATATTTTCCTCACTTTTATACGAAAATTACGTCTTCAATTGAAACACTCTTCACACCTTGCAATTGTAATCAAACACTCACTCTTCATTTTACGAATTTCTGCATAAATTTTCAAGAATTTCGCTCTCTCCGTGTTTGATATTCAACGTAATTTCGTGATTTTGTGTAGGAGCATGAAACATATTGCAACATTAATTCACAAACGAGTCATCTCTGAATAATTGGCTCTAATTGCTTCTATAGTGGCAAAACCTAATTTATGCGCACGAGTTTGGCAATAAATTGATCATCTATCATTCTTTCTCTCCGGAGGCTTCTTTCTGTCCTGTCTCTTCGGGCATTCTGGGCACTTTCAAGAGCTTCCCACAAAGAAAAATCAGCGAATCTCACCTTCGGAGTTTCAGGGACAGCAACGGGAGTAGCAATTCAATCCATCCGTTGCCCTGCTCGTACTTGAGGCTGCGATTCTTGCAGTAGAACGTGAGGATTGACTCGAGATCCGAGACAACAGACACTTTGTCTTCGTCATCATTGCCCAGGCGCTTCACCACAGCCTCGCAATCTCCGCGGAGCTGGCGTTGGAATGGCAAGTCGAAGATCTCGTTGAAGGACACCAGCTGGTCGCTCTTGTGGCGCACATCCAGGCACACTTGCCACACGTCCGGCCGCAGAGTCTCCGGAATGGTCTTCCCATTGCAAATTGAGTAGATGTCGTTCACAGTGCAGTCGTCCAGGAGCGCCGACTCCAGCTCCATCAGCCTAGCCGGACACGTCGGAAGAGGAGCAATGAAAGAGATAAGGAGATTGATAAGAATGGCCCGGATTCGTCACCGCAAAAACTCGCACTCAAGGAAAAGTGGCAGTGTTTTGTGAAAACTCACACTTACCACAGATTATCATCCATTTCCCACGCGCTTCACGTGCTGATCACTGAGGAACACCTTTTCTGACCACTTGGGCTGAGATTTTAGTACATTTTACGCACTTTTTGTGAGAAATTTCACTTCTTTTGCCAATTTTCCTCCGCAGCTGAGCGACGTCATGAGCAAATATCGATGACAGCTGTTCCCCTTCAGTTGCCACCAGCGACACCTCGCGGGATTTTCAGTATATTCCCGCGCAAAAGTATCAATGGAAATGGAGGAAATTTTGCAATTTCCCAGCTTCTGCGCATTCCAGGGTATTCATCCCCTCAAAGAAGTGTACGCCTAGAGTTGGCAGAGGTATAATAGCACGGTGAATGACGAGGAGACGACAGTTATCGCCTGTTTGAGCTTCAGTTCACCAGTGCCAAAAGGTAAAAAAAAGTTGTGTGGTTCGGGAGGAGTGTGAGAAAATCCTTGAGAAATCATTGGAATCCTCTCTTCAGCACTGCTCTAATAAAATTCTCCCTCATTTCTGTCTGTTTTCAACTGCCTGAATTCGTGCACATTTCCCATATTCCCGGTGGTCAGAGGGCAGGACAGGATGGCCAAAAGACTGAAGAACTCGTGTCTGGCATTGCTGGCGATCATCGTCGTGGCGGAGTGTGTTCCCACTTCTGTACTCGTGGACACCACCAAAGATTCCAGCAAGAGTGAGTGAAAAAACTTTATTTTTCCGTCTGGCTCGGAAATTTTCCACCCAGAGTCAGTTTTATGCGTAATTTTTCCACCCGTGGAATGGGGCGAACAACAGGTTACTGGCGGGCATCACAAGAGTGACTCTCGAGAGAAAATGCCTCTTCCACCCACTTGAGTGCATTACATATAGATGTAGCATTTTCCATACTCTAGACGAGACTGAGATTGTTGAAGTGATGAACGAAATTGATTATTTTGTCTTTGAGTTGTAGATTTCAATATGATGCTGTAACATCAAATCTAGCTGTATCTATATAGGACTGAAAATTTAGGTTTTTGAATGCTCTTCTTGTTCTAAATCAGCTTTTTTTCACAAATATAGTTTTCTCCTTGATTTCATCGATTTTATGCATGATATCAAAATTCCGTTTTCGTTGATAAAACCTCATACAGATAACATATGTATGTAGAAGAGAATTATAATTTTTACGATAAAAGTTTTACATGAAGGAAATTCCGGGAAATGTACAGAGAAGTATAATTTTATTCCTAAGATCGTACTGTTCGCGATGAATGTCTCAAGAGAGAGAGAGACATAATTAATTGTCTACAGTAACTTCTAAGGACAAGACGAGAACGTAGAGACAGAAAGATGTTTGAGACGCCTGAGAACTTCTTCAGCAAAACGACACGCAGTTCACAGGGCTCATTATACGTCCTACGAGATAATTTTCATAAAAATCCCATTGACACAAAATATTTTTTCGAGAGGATGAAGCAAAAAGCGGCGAAGATAAATGCTGGTTGACGCGCGGCAGACTGATAAACAGTGAAAATTTATTTCATTCATTAACATAATTCTGCGCGTATCGAACACGGTTGGGCATGAATGGCGGATTAATGAAAATAATCGCAATACACATAATCAAAGATGATGAAGAACAGCGTAAAATCCGCCCACGAGCAGGAATAAATGGGAGGGAGTGCGTTAAAATCGATAAAGGTCACCATAGGGTATCTTTCTCGCCAAAAAACCACACCATGTTAATGGGCATAAGCTGAGAATCTCTCTGATTTTTCCACGAGTCCTCCGGACAAATTTAGATGGAATCCTTGACGCAAACGTGCCAACAAAATAGACGTGAGCGATAAATTATGGCAGAGAGAAATGTCCGAGAAATTGCCTCTGTCTTTTGGGAACAGTCTTTTATTATTACAAGATATGTACTTTTGCCATCACTCTTCTCCCACTGTGACGCCCTGCGGTGCTCATTTCTGTGCTCTTCTCTTTGGCTAATTATTCAATAAAAGATTTTTCATTGTCGTTCCCGATGAGTTTTCAAAGAAATAGGGATTTTTATTGCTCGACAGCGACGCAGAGAAGAAGGAATTTTCCCATGTGCGAAAGCCCTAAAGTGCATTGACAGTCTTCTCAGGATTATTTTCTTATATTAATAAAAAGCTTTTTCAAATACGAACACCCACAATATGTTCGGAAGAAAAGCCTATTTATAAGTGCTCTAGCATTGCTCATAGTCATGAAATATTAATTAAAATAAATAAAGCAAGAAGCATGATGAACGTCAGTGTTTTGATACCACAGAATATTAGATTTCCCACTAATTGGTCAAATTGTTTGATCCTCATAATCCGAAACTCCTCTCGGAAATTCAGAGATGATCTTGACCTAGTTTTGGGTGATTCACTGTTATGGCAAAATTAAAGTACAATAGAAGTTGTCAAAATACCGTCCACGAACTAAAATCAATTAAACTGATATCCTTAAATATCTTTTTTAATCAAAGGTGGTGTGAATTTGATTGCTATGAAAGTTCATAAGGAAGAATACTTGGTTCCTTTCCACGAACTATTTGTGTGAAATTCTATGAAATCAGAGGGATTTATTGCCTTGTAAGCAATTTAATATCAATAAGCATTAATTTATTAAGGAAATGAGAGCGCGTGCGAAGATAGCGTGGATAATGACTGGACTTTCTCAGAAAATTCACTACTGCCAATATTCCTGGGGATGGAAAATGAGTCCTTTCGTGGAGAAGTTATGATGAAAATTGTGGGCAATCAGAGACTGGCTCAGCATGAAATCGACCTCAATTTGTAGCACACTGTGTCATATTTTTGCTTCACCAAGGGTGTTGATTATACGTAATGATGATTATAAATTTGCTGGTTTTGATTTGCAGCAGTGAAGAGATCTCCGGAAGGTCTCAAATCGATTTCAACATCAAAGGAGGAAAGCACACAGGGAGTCCCCGATGGGGTGGAGAAGATGCCACAGAAGCGTGGTGTTGTCGCTCAAAACTTACCAGCATCCTCATATGGATACCCCAGTGAATATCCGGTCGGTGGTGTGGCGAACGGCGTGTGGGTGGATGAGCCCGCTCTTGGTCTCTATCAAGATTGGGATGGTGAGTCTATTAGCCATTAATTAAAATGGCATTAATTAACTTTTCACCCTTGGGCAGACATCTATGAATCGGCCAATCGACATGGTGCTGCTTATGACAATCTCCAGAACATCCTCAACTCCCAGTATTACACGGAGCCTGTGGCACTTCCCCTCGAGTACTCCTACAAGTATTACGCTGATCGCAAGAAGCGCTCCAGTGACAAGAAACACCCCAAAAGACGCACAGTCATGAGGTGAGCCTGAATTTCATATTTTTCCACCCTCCAAATTGACTCAAAAGCAAAATGGGGGGACTTCTCTCTCTCTCTCATATTTATGGATGGAAATTGAAAATCTTCAAGAAAATCTCTGTCTATTTTGTCAGCATTTGCTAAATTGCACGAATACGTGCGATTGAATACCCACCTAATAAGTACACCATCAAATTTTAAGCTCTCACTCAGAGGGAAATGCTCTTGTGCGACCCTAAATCCCTAGAAAATACCTGTAATTGCTGTTCTTACTGAAATTATGTTGACAAAACTCCAGTGGAGGAAAATTCATGAATGAATGATTAACGTGAATTCAAGCGTACTCTGTATGCTTTACAAAAAAAAATGGTAAAATGCCAACAATAACGTCAGGTGATAAAGGAAAAACGTTGCGTAACCTTTAAAAAATTGTCGAAGCATATAGAAATACGTGTGGTATACTACATTGTGTTACTACATTGGCAATCAATTTCTTGATCCGAATTATACAGAACTTTTCTCGGATTATTTTCTCTCGACGCAGATTTCTTTCTTCATTCTAAGAATCATCAATAATTGGACACAAGATTGCATGTCATTTATTATTTATTATTCTGTGCATTCACTGCGTTGTATTGAATGTCTTGGCGCTCTGGCTTTCTTTTCCTGAGACACGGCGTAAGGAGTCTCTCATCCTTCACTCGCTCCCCGCCAGTCATCAAACTCACAGGATATCCGATAATAAAAACTAGAGCAAAACCCAGGAGTGCATAAAACATGTAGTTTATGCGGAATATCCAGCTGACATCCTCTTGATCAGGCGTCTCAATGGGAGCGGAAATCAATGTGCTGTTTGAGCAGCCGTCACTGCGGAGCGGAAGAGTAGGTTCCTTGAGACGCATTTGCGCTCCTATCGTGATACTTCCCACGGCGACAAGCGCAGATATGCCACCGCAAAGTGCTCCCTGTAAATCTCAATAAATGCCATCACACTCTTTTCAAAGTCCTTCTCAGAGCAATGAGAGTGGCTAGAATTACTTACGCACGAGTTCATCTTTGGCAAGAGCATTCCAGCTGTGAAGATGCCAATGACAATTCCTCCGCTGATACTGACCACAGACACTGTGAGCAGGAAGACCATTGTTCCGAGGGAGTCCACGAGGAATACAAGAGCCAGTTGAATCACTCCCATGACGAGGACTATTCCCTTCAGCAGGAGACTCTTCTGACTCTCAGTGAAGTGGCGAAATGTTGTAGCGAGAAAATCCTCATAGATACAACCAGAGAGTGTGTTCAAGCATGAAGACATGGAGGACAAACTGGCTGAGAAAATGCCAGCTGCAAACAATCCTGCCAATCCGGGAATATGGTCACTCTTCTCCACTATGAAATGCGGTACAATTTGATCAATTTTCCTGATAACACCCTCAGTGACAGGATCACACGCCTCATAATTTGCATAGAGAGCTAATCCGGTGATGAGGAAGAGTGCTTGAAAGACCACATAACCCACACTCATGGCGATGACACTTGTCCGGGCAGCCTCAAAACTCGGTACAGTTATGTATCGCTGAATGCTGGTGGGGTTGAGGCCGAGGTGAAAGAGAAGAGTAAATGGATTTCCCACGGCTATTGTCCAGAAGGACACTCGCACAACAGGACTGGCATTCATGCTGCAAGAGTCAGAAAGAACATGAGTTGATTTGCACGAAAGTCTCCGCAAATCAATTGCACAGACAATCAAGAGAAATTGGACAATAGATTGAATTGGTGTACAATCCCTCATGTCAATATTAAAGCTTAAACGTACTACTTTACATATCTAGTTTATATAATGAATAATGACCTGAGTTTGCTCACTGTTTGTTTAAACGGGGGAGATGAATAATCAACAAGTATGCAAATTTAAAATTTATAGACTATAATTCACGATTCGAACGTATCAATAATTACAAAATTCCATACACTAAGATTGCTAAGCGATAATTTCGATCCGATAACGCATTATTGAGAACTCTTCTCAGATGATACAGATTTACAGAAACCATATTTCAATTAAAGAAGAACTTCAAAGCTTCAGACGTATCTGAAGCACATGAAAAGATTGTTATGTACACCTTATGCTCCATTCTCACACAATCCCATCCAATCCCTTTGTCATGTGTAATAGAACTGTATGGTAAGGATTTTACTTGAAGAAAATTAATCGACCTCCACGATCTGCCGCCTCCCACACTTTCTGGACACCACCAGCTGTGTGGACAGCAAGCAGTGCGACCAGAATCGTGGCCGTCAGCATCAATGCCAATTGGAGCGTATCCGTCCACAGAATGGCTCTCATGCCACCGAAGAGGGTGTAGAAGAGGCACAGGACACTCAGAACCATTGCCGAGGCATAAATGTCCAGCCCAGTCATCTGGTTGAGTGTCAGGGCAGGCACATAGATGGCCACCGGAAGGAAGAGAAGTGTGGATAGCGCATAAATGGCGCTCATCATCTTCTTCACGCGCCATCCGAAGCGCCTCTGGATGTAGATGAAACTGGACAAGGAGCCCTGCTCGTAGATTACTCTCAGATGGATCTTAATCACTGCGATTGTCATGAGAATTGTTGGGAAGATAATTAGCCAGTACTGCGTGCCAAAGGCATAAATCTCCGCCGGCATCCCGAGAAGCGACGGCCCAGAAAGCTGAGTGGCCACTAGTGATGCCGCCACGGGCAGAATGCCCATCTTCTTGCCACCCAAGAGATATTCAACAGGACTATTTTGCTGCTTCTTCGACACGAATCCATAATATATCCCGATTAACAGTGACACACCGAATGACACGATAAACACAGCTAAGTCCACATAACTAACGAAAAATCCCTCCATGAGAGCACGAGAATTTCATCTATATATGATCCGTCTTTTTGTAAATCTCGCGATGAACTGACTTCAACAGAGGCAAATTTAAAATGAATAGAGAGAAACAGTAAGAAGAAAAATGTCACGACTTGCAAATGCAATAAATATATCAATATAAAAATGACTTCATGAGCACGACGGGAAATTCCCAACGTTATAAGCGAACGTTGATTTATATATGCCATTATAAATATGTTTGGAAATATATTTTTAATTTTATTGACACAGAGGAGTGACTACACTCATAATTATGCCATTTTATACCAATTCTATTCAATATTATCTGACATCTATCTTTCTCAGAAATCTTAGGGGCAGAATTATTTGCATATCAACTATGGACTTCTCTGGGGTATAATATAGCCTAAATACTTTTACATAGGAGTGAAATTGACAATATAATTCCATTATATAATAGCATTATATTTATTGATAACCATTTAATTAAAAGTGCCTAATTGGATTTAACTTCATTGTTAAGCATGCCAATTGCCGGCCACTTTACAAAAAAAAAGATAATTAAAATTGAAAAAAATTAATGTCAATCGCTTTGTTGAATATAATAAATAATTAAGTGATATTGATTTTTTGTTACGCAACACTTCTCTTCCTCACTGTATGGATTAATGTGCAGAGCCAATGCAGAGAAGTGCTGTTCTGTGCGAAAAAGAATACCAATTAAGCAGCAATTTTCATTTAACCCGAATACGCCAATCAATTGATCAAGAACTCATTGTAAATGCCTTACGAATTCATCGTTTTCACCTTAGAATCCACAATATACAATTTATAGCTGAATAATTTTGTGATGATACCTGAACTTTAGTGAGGTGTATATTATTTTCCGAAATAGCAGCTGTAACCGAAGAGCATCATCTGGAAGTATTTCCATTTCGTATCTTGAGTTCAATTAAAACTTCACGACAAACATGAGGCCTCAAACTCATAATTATTCATTGTTGAGAAAGGATTTCAGCTCTTTCGAGGGTGATTCTCAAGTCATTTCTCATGTTGAAAAGTCAGATGAGAAATTGATTAAGTAATTCCATTTCCACAAAATTGTGTATATGAATAGAACTTTGGAGGATCTGTTGAAGAGTTGAAATATATCTTTTATGCATAATTATCATAAAGTGGGAAAAATTTGGTGAAGTTTGATGGGAAAGCATCAACAGGTCATGAAACACTCCATTAGATAAGCATAAAATACGAATCTCGTGTTGGAACACATTACAAGCTTATCAGATGTTCGGCTCAAATGATAAACCTGCGTCCGGGGAAATAATTCTCACGTGTGAGAATCATCATGTTAATAGCAAACAACGCAATTTGTAAGCTATCATGAATCGATAGAGGGAGAAAGCTCGAGAGTCAGTATTTTGCAGGCGCCACAGTATAACAATTTTATATCATTTAAATATAAATCAATGTTTAAATTACAATATAACGTTATATAAGATTGACAAAGTCAATCAATCATAATCTCGATCTCGAGCCATTGCTTTTACCTATTGATTTTCTCCCTTTTATTCGCTTTCTCTCTCACTCTGTAATTTCTCTCTAGGTTTCTTCAAGGGAGAATCAATGTGGGAAACGGGTTTGTGGGCGAAGAATCCTTTAAATGAATTCTATGACATTCAATTCAATGTCCACCACAGAGCTTCTCATTTGCCCTGCGAAGGCCAAACACACATGAGCAAAATACACACATTCTCTGGTGTCAAAATTGCCTTCTATCATTAAATTGAATTCTCAGAATCAGCCCTGAAAGGCGAAATGGTGTGAAAAAGCGAAATAAAAGAGGCAAAAGCTTCACAACATGTCCACAGAAAAGCCACCAAACAAGGGGAGCGCTTTTCCGAAGGTGGATACAAAAGAGAGAAAGCATAAAGAATTTCAGTGCGAGATATTAAGTGAAATAGTCTCTGTGTGCGCTTTGGCCATTTGTCCCGGGCAAACATAATATCCAATTACAGATTTGATGTGAGTGTTGATGACAAAAGTCGTGCAACAGGTGTTTTTTTAACGGCTATTTTCCTGCACGCCATTTTAGTCTTAATTATCTACATAATATGTGCTTTTGCTCACATTTTAGACACAAGAGAATATTTAGAACTAATGAGTAGAACAAGGAAAAAAGCATTCAGTTAAGCTCCTAATTTTAGAGAGCTATGTACATATACATATATCCTTCTGTTGCTTATCTTTTCATTCGCACAGAGAGAAAAATAGAAGCTGGTTTTGAGAAATGCCAATCAATATTTTTCCTTAACAGACAGAAACCCTTTATGCTAATATTACCTCACATATGTGATTACGCAATAACTTCATTCACAAAATTGCGATGATGTGAAAGACTGACTTGAACAATGAATAAAACATGCGGATAAAGAGCACAATATTTCACGGAATTTTCGTAGTTCTTCATATACCAATTTCCTGCATTTCAAATCACGGGACGCACCTTTCAAACATCCTGAAAAAGTATTGCATGTGGGTAGTTTGGCCGTTGAAACGGGGTTTTCCGCCCACGCATCTGGTGAGGAAACTCTCATAAATAGAGGGGAGCGGTGAAGAGTGTGTATATGAACTGAATGGGAAGCAGGCTCGCATTACATCCTCTGCCTTAAATCAAATTACACAAGGATTCTCCCATCTGCCATTGGAAAATACATTTCATTTTCCTCGCCATCATCATCATAGATTGTTGTTGAGCGAGAAGTTTCGCAAATAGCACACAATACAAAGCATTTTATGTGCTGAGTGGCATTTTCCTCGGAAAACTGATTCCCGAGCACGAGGAAATGAAAAAAAGTAGAACAAGAGAGAATCACCTTTCCTTGAGCAGAAGCGCGATGAAAATGTCGAAGGAAAATTCAATTAAAAATAAACTTACTTGTGCAAATGGTAAATTGGAAAGAACAATTTCGACGGAGACAAGAGAAGTCAAATGAGCAAATAGAACTTTGACCTTTGTCAAATGCCTGCCTCATAGAAAAAAAATCAAAAACTAAGTGATTTCCCATCATAAAATATATGGATTCGTTCCATTAATAAATCAAAAGGATTCATAACAAACTATGGGACCATAAATATTTCAGGCTACGGCCATATCCGATTCGGGGGTGAAAGGAAAAGTTCCCTTTTTCCGATCCGCCAAACGAAAATAGAATGAGCTGAAAATATTTCTGCACCCACGCAAAAGGCTTTCATACAAAACATCCCTGACGGTGGGATGAAAAAGTTTCCCACAATGGAATTTTAATGTATGATGCTTGAAAATCCATTCCCCGGTTATTGTATTTGCAAATTAATTGGCATCAACTCTTTGCTCCTATCCTCTGCCATACCAAATATTCGCAGAGGAAAATTGGATGAAAAATCTCACATTTAGCAATCAAATCACGAACGTAATTCAATATCACTGTTTTTATTGTGGTGAATTTTTCACACAGCTCCTTAATATAAAAGCAGTGGAGCACTTCAAATAAGAACCTTTTATCAGGGACGAAAAATATGGCAGATTGTTATCATAAACGTGTTTTCACTGTGCGCGACGCGAAGTAGAGGTACTTTGTGTGATTTTTATACAATTTATCATCCGGAGATGAATGTGTTCATTCATTTTTATTAAACGTTTTTCCACCCACAATTTCCTCTCATACCATACAATTTTTTTTTCTTTAAATTCATTGAAATACATTGAGTTGTGATTGAGAATTTCAATTGATTTTTTTTCTAAGATAAAATTCTTAAAATCTACTATTTCATTAGTCGAAATATGTTTTCCTTATGGTTTCAGGCCGAAACGCCACTCTAAATTGAGTCCAACTGAAGTCATGGCTCTTGCTTCCCTGTTCGAAGGCTCAGAACGCGATCCTCGCGATCGCTTCTACGAACCGGACGTCCTCGAGCCTGCCGGATATCCGCCCTATGCTCAATTCACTGGACCAATTGTCGATGAGAACGAGCGCGAAGACTGGTTCAACAACTGGTCAGATGCCCCAGTTGAGTATCTTCCTCCGTACGCCATTGAGTCCGTGCCACGCTACGAGGTTTACCGAGAAGCCCCAACTGGACGCTTTGGCAACCGAGGTGAGATAAACCAAATCAAATCCTGAGACCACTAAATCAATCATCTCTCTTTATTTCTGCAGGCTTCCCAGCAAAGCGCTTCATGGTGTCTAAGAAGAAGTTGCACAACCCAGAGGAAGGGAATTCCCACAAATATTTTTAAAACATAAACATGAATAATATATAGCAGAAGAAAAGCAAAGCACACACACATACTGAAGAATTACCTACTTAAAGTGTAAATGTGACCCAAACGACAAATTCCTGGCGATTAATGTTGATCCCCGATCTTCTCCCCAAATTTCTCCCCCAAAAAAAGAAAAGAAAAGAAACCCCTCCCAATTATGGCCAACACTCATGAGAAAGGGTGACAAGAAGGAATTATTATTTTTGTAAAAGATCCCATCTTTCATCTCAATGGTGGGTGCAAAATGGATTAAATGTAATTATATCATCAACATTGGACGAATATCAGTGTGTTAAAAGCATCTATGTTGAATAAATCATTGAAGAGGAGAGAACACCTTATGACAAAATGTGGCTCAGAGAAACTTTCTAATTATATGTATTGTGACATTATCAGAGGCTAACAATATATGAATAAATAGCAGTTACTTTGGTGTCCGACCATCTTTGATTGAGGTTTCATTTCTACTACTAACTGGCACTGAACTGTCGTTCCAGGACGTCCTTATGTTGAGATTTGTGGATTCTCTTTGGTTTGGCTATTGAAAATATTATACAGAATCATAATAAATTATCTATGCAGTCAATTTTCCTTCCCAACATTTGAGTTCCCGCCTGGCTTTTTGTCTCTATTTCTATTAGATTCCGATAGGACAATTCCATCTTATTTCCTCCCGCGTCATCACAACTCATATTGGGTTGGGAACAATTTTATTCACCACCGCCAAACAATAACACAAGAGGTGAAGTGACAAGGATAAAATAGTGAAAAACTGTAGGAAAATCGCCTGGAGATGAGTTTTAATGATAACAAGAACGCGGAGAACTCTGCGACAACACTGGAGGAGTGGATGACGCGCTTGAATAGCTACCAGATCCCACAGGCGGAGATGAATAAGATGATAATGAATTATTTAGTGACAGGTAAGATGGCTGAAACAAAGGGGGAGACTGAAGCACTTTTACGCACCATTCCGGGTGTCTTCTACTTGCAGAAGGCTTCAAGGAGGCCGCCGAGAAGTTCCAGGCGGAGGCCGGCGTGGAGCCCACAGTGGAGCTAAACTCCCTGGATAACCGAATCCTCATTCGGGACGCCGTGCAGAATGGGCGGATCCAGGAGGCCACGCACCTCGTGAACCAACTCCATCCGGAGCTGCTGGACAACGACCGGTATCTGTACTTCCACCTGCAGCAACTGCACCTCATTGAGCTGATCCGCGCCGGAAAGATTGAAGAGGCGCTTTCGTTCGCACAGACACAGATGTCCGAGGCCGGTGAGAACAATCCGGAGGTGCTGAGCGAATTGGAGCGCACACTGGCGCTGTTGGCGTTCGAGAAGCCGCAGCAGTGCCCGTTCGCCGACCTCCTGGAGCAGTCTCATCGTCAGAAAGTGGCCAGTGAGCTCAATGCGGCCATCCTCAAGTCGGAGAACCAAGAGCACACCAGTCCGCGCATTGTCTACCTGCTGAAACTGATCCTGTGGGCGCAGGCAGAGCTGGACAAGAAGAACATCAGCTACCCGAAGATGCGCAACCTCGCCACGGCGTCCATTGTGCCCAAAATGTAGGCCCCACGTGAGCTCCCGCCGCTCTCCCATCGTCATCGGCGTCTTTTGTCCCAACTGTACATTTCATTTGTGAGGAGGCTTTTGAATTAGTTGGAGCCGCCCAGGAGCTCACGTTAAACAAACGAACTTTCAGGCAGTGATGATAGATTACTTTAGTGTGTATAGATTACATTCTTTTATGCCGCAAAACGAGCTTTCGTTCATCAAACTTCGATTGCAAGCTTTGTATTTGGACTATATAGAGAAATTGCTGAAAAGATGCCAGGATTTGCTGAGAAATTGTGGGGCATTCAAGAGAAGAAGCGAAAAACTTCATTCTACACACTCGTCTAAAGAATTTTCTACGTCTCTCTATCAGAAAGGAAAAACCTTTGCAAATCTCCTGACAAAAGAATTCTGCTGGAAATTTCGGATGGGAAATGAACCAAAAATCAATAAGAGAAATGTATCTTCCAAAATAATAGATTCAATGCCAAACAGATGATAAGGACTCAATCGCACTTTCCCTACTATTAAATCCCTTTATCGAATTGTACTCATTTTATTTTAACACAATTCGTCAGACCTGCAATGTTCGAATCCAGTTGATTTTTCCAGGATATCGTATAAAAAAAAGAAATCGGAAATATGAGTGGCTGAAGTGTTATTTGAGATTAGGGAGAAATTGTGTTAATCAATGGTGACATCTACACTGAACCTTGTTTTTCTGTTTAGTTACTATATTTACAAAATTACCGATAAGCATTTTTATTTTAAAAATTTCTAATAAATTGGTATATTACGAAAAGTGTGAGTTTTCTTGCTTCTTGATGCTTCCTGAGCAATGTACCCTCCTCGGCGAGACAGATATCCTTCCACGAAAACTCTGGCAATAACAAAAGTGCAACGATATGCTCTTTCATTCGCTCTCACAGTGATGAACGGGCTCTGTAATTTCACTATACATTTATTTGTGAATCCTCTCCACTCGTTAATCTTCCCTTTGTACTACACACAAAGATGCGGGAGTGAGTGTGATTTATTAAAAAAAATTAAAATAAATAAATATGGGCTCTCTCTGGATTTCTCTCACTTGAAATTCATGTTATACTGCACAAGGAGCACTTCCCGGACCCGGAAGTGCTCACTTTATATGAATATTGTTATCACATGACGCTGTCTTCGTGACCTGGTGACTCCCCTCAGTGCTTCTCGGCTGTTGCTTCAACTCCTTAAGCGTGGCATCGATTGTCTGCAAGGAGAGGACGGGAAACAGTGCAAGACTATTAGCTAGTTGGCAGTGGATCGGGCATGTTAGCGCACAGAGTGTGAGAGAAGTTGTCTTCACGAAATGTTAGCAACAGAGACAGGAGCAAGTCGAGTGTCGTTAGATCCAAATGAGGGCATTCCGGAAGCCAATGGTTGGGGTTAGTGGCGTGAGAGCGTGGGCGCAAACCTTATTGAGGCGACTGGTCGTCTGTTGGATTCGTTCCAGAAACCAATTACTCGCTCCCGGACTGCTTGATGCATTCTCAATGGGGGAAGTGTGCTGAGGAATTGGGTTTGATGGATCAACGACACACGAACACCGAAATCTCTTGCAAGTTGAGCACAGCAATTTGCTCTCGAGCTGCAAAGGTGGCTTCTATAGTACTCTAGCTCCTCACAATCGCATGCAATCTTCAGCTGTGATTCATTAGGTGGGTGTAAAAAAAAAACCTGATGCTTACACAAAAAGTGGACTCTGAGTAAACCTCGATCTCGCGATACTTCACAGTGCCAAACATTACGCGTTTCCTCTCAATTTGGTTGTTGAATGTGTGCAATTTAGTAATCGCGATATTGAAGCTCACTATGAGATCACACTTTTTCGCCATTAAACCACTAGCCTGAACTTTTTCACACTGGCCAGGTAGAGAATCACAGCCAAAGGTGGCCCTCAATGCACTGGTGCTTCTCTTTGGCCAAAACTTTCATCCCAGCACCCGCAAAAGGCTCTCATCCAGCCGACACCACAGAGGAAAAAAATCCACAGAGACAGACTGAAAATGAGAAGAAGTTTCATGGGAAACCTACATTGACTCGACGCAGGAGATCCGCCACAATCGCCAGAGCAGCATTCCTGGTGTTGCTCGGTGACGCATTTCCATTTTTCAGGCGGTCCGCCGATGCAATCGTCGCTGTGGTGCTCTCTGTGGAAGACAAGAAATCCCACAATCTCAACCACGCATTGGCCAAAAGGCAAACAAATAGGAAACAGAAATAAAACAGAAGAAAAAGGAGAGTAAAAGAAAAGATACGTAGGTAAAAGTCAGGCCTAAAAGAGGCCTAATCGTGCATTTTATTGGTGTAAAACAAAGAGGTAAAAGTGTGTGCTTAATACTTTAACGACAACGGCTGACCCTGAGGAATGAGGGTCAGCTGATGGCACTTTAATGGCCTTCGCCCAGACGTTCGACTAGGATTCGGTCTGGGGGAAAATGCATGCAGGGCGAAAGGATCGCTTCACGGTGGCATAGGCAAAGGATATCTTACGTTTTATGGAATTGTCTCGGTGAGACTGACCGTCTTGAGACGCCTGGACACCTGTGGCCACGACGTCTGCCGCCATTCTGGGACGCGACATTGTTTGGATCTCAGATGTGACGGCACCCTCCGCTTGAGCATTGTTGTTGGGGTGCCTCTGGAATACTTTGAGCTCTTGTTTGAGATCTGCAACGAAAACATCCTAGTTAGCATACAATTCGCTGCCCAGACACTTTTCTGCTGAAACCCACCTCTATTTTCATCCATGAGTCGCTGATTCCTCTCCTGGGCACTCTCCTCCACCATCTCCTTCTCCACTTCCAGCATCACGTTGCGTTCGTATTCGCGATTCAGGGAGCGCTCGAACTCTGTCATGGTCTCTGAGACAATTCTGTACGCTCTCTCAAGATCGTCATTCTTCTGCTCCAGCTCTCGCATGTGCTTCCGCAGATCCTCCTTCTCCTTGCGCTCCGCCTGATAGCGACCCTCCAACTGTGTGATCTCATTCTCACACTTGATCGTCTTGAGGCGCAGTATTTCGTTGTCTTGCTGCTGCTTATTCAGTTTCAGACGCAGCTCTCGGATCTGATCCTCCCTGGTCTTCAGCGAGTACTCCAACTCCTGCTCCAGCTGATGACTGCTCTCTGTGAACTCATCCAGCTCATGCTTCCAATACGTGGCCTTGTCTCTCCAGTACTCCAGGCTCTCTTCCGTGGGGCTGTCCATTGTTACTCACAGGGCGTCGCAAATGACCATGAAACAATCTACTTTGTTCCACAACCCCGTTTCACCAGCTTTCTTGCACCCACACTGATCCGCACGCTCTCAGGTACTACAGAAACTTCTTTTTACGTCTTTCCACGCGAAAAATCAATGAAAATGAGCCACTTTGATTGCATGCGAAGCCATTTATCCCCGTTTTCACCACCAAAACTGTCACTCTCACGGCGAATCGGCGAATTCCGGCGAAAGCCAGTAAACACAGTGGTGAGTTTGTCGGCTGCCTGGAAAACTGCTTAGAAAGCCTCCTTCATCATGGAAATGTAAGTTATTTTTGCGTGTGTTCTCTTTAGATGTTTTCTAATAAATGAATTATCTTAACTGGTGCTTTGTAGAAGAAATCACCTGTTTTCGCCGCTGACTAATTTCGAGACATACCAAATCATGACAGCGCTGAAAACTAAGGACACTAAGAAGAAATTTGGGCTGAGGAATTTGGCGACAATCTGCTATGAAGTAAACAATTAGGTACCTTAGAAATCCTGCACATGATTTCTAAAATCTCTTTCTTCTATTTCTTTTGCAGACACTGCAATACCTCGAAGAGACACCCTGTAAATTTCAGTCAAAAGACAAGATAGTAGAGTTCCGGGAAGCTGTGAAGAAATTCAATCTCACAAATTCTGAGTGCTTCATGATGGCCAATGATCCACCCACCAATCCTCTCCACATCCAGCTTCTTGTTGAGGATAGCGAAGAGCGCTTAACGGAGGAACAAGTTGCGGAATTATTGAAAATTGTGGAAAAAACTCTTCTGGTATGATCAAAGCTTTATTGAAAAATTAGCGTTTCTGATCTCCAAGATCCTCAATGAAGTCCTCATCAATCTCCGGCCACTTTTCCGGGATGACATCAAACAAATCGTCCTTTACATCGCCCTGGATCACAATCTCATCGTCTCCCGTCACGGAGGAGCCACATGCGAATTTTGTGCCGAAAAACTTGGCTGCCACTTTGAGATCCAGCCCAAAAGTGCTCAATCCAGTAACCACGGTGACGGACTTCTTCTTTCCACGGGGCGCACGGAAGACGCAGATCTTCTTCGGTCCATCGTCTTTCTTCTTTGTTTTCATCATGCCCTTTCCGCCACGCTTCTGTCGTTTCTTATCGTCATCTGTAGCATTAGCAGACGTCGCCTCAGCGGGGTCATCAATCTTCACCTTCTCAAATTCACTAGGTAAGTGTTTTTCTAGCCACACCTTGCATTTCTCATATTCCGGGTAGTATTCGCAGTACTGAATGAAAAGCAAAAACAATAGGTATAGAGCGAAGTTTGTAGGGGTATTGAGCAGTTACCTCGATGGGCATTGAACAGTTGCCGCAGTATTGCACCTTGATTGGGTAGGTGACTCCCTCCAAGGGCCCCATTTGGAGCTCCACGTCTGTCATTGCGGTCGTTTTGCACCCTGCAAAGTGAGGTTATAATGAAGTAAAAAGAAAAGTTCGAGCAGTCAAAGCTATGCTTCTTACCTTCTTACCGTGCAGAAAAGCTATTCCATACACCACGTACAACTTATTAGATGAACTTCGAGAGTCCCGTGGAAATCGAGCAGACGGAAGAAAATTTTGTTTATGTTCCTCGCCGTGGTGAATTTTCGACTCACTGGAATATTCGCTTCCACTGGAAGTTTGCAATATGGCGTCAACTTCCGTCCAGTATTTTGCGCAAAATGCATTTGACCGTTTATTTTCTCTTTTATCTCTAAAATATCAATAAAATCAGAATTGTTCTAACTTTAACAATCACTACAAGTCATTCTTGTAAACTCTCTAAATGATAAAAGTGTGCTTTCGCTGGTTCCATGCTGAAAATGAGGTAATAAGTAGAAAAATGTCCTTGGGCTAAAAAAGAAAACTTTAGAGAAAAATCACACGAAAAAATTGGTATTTTGGTGTAGAAAACTCGTCTGTTCATCGGTATAGGTGGTAGAATGATGAATAATAAATGGGCTAAATTTCTGCGTTTGAAGTACATTTTAAATGTTTTCCTCGATGTTTTCCTAATGTGTGTGATACCAAGATTCTTAATCATCTATTTTGCGCGAGAATATTTAAATGCTATTTAGTGACTCTTGGGAGGAGATAAATAGGAGGTTCTGATGATTAATGAGGTCTCTCTACCCACTAGATGCAGATTCGCGTGATTCACACATCGATCACGCTGTCGTTCTTCATATTGGTCGCCTTGAGTTTCTCCTGCATTTGGGTCAGCATGTCCTGCATCCGGCGAATCTGCAAAGGAAATTCCACGGTCAGAAGTCTTCTGGCTCAATGCGAAAGTGACTCACCTCTTCGTCCTTCTGCAATAGCAGCCGGTCCGTCTCGGTGATGCTAGCCTCGTTGGCGGACGCCACGGAGTCTCTCTTCAATTTCCCGCGCTCTCGGAGAGCATGTTGGCTGATTTGCGAGATACATTGCGCACGGAAGTTCTCATAATGCACATCCTGCGTAGTGTCTTTGAGGTCTTGCATGTGCGTCGAAATGAGCATCGTCCTGAGCTTAATAAAGTCGCTGTGCTGCGGATTCTCAACATCCACAACGCCCCATGGATACTGGCGGCCGCGAATCTTCCTGCCAGCTACCTCAAGAATTGTATTGCTGCCCACCACTGCGAACGGTAAGCATGCTTTCAGCTCCCTGTCCTGCTGCTTAAACTCCTCATCTTCATCAGAGTCGCAGTCAGGGAATTGATACAGCTGCAAATTGTTCTCTTCGAGATCGGCCAGAATGCGCTCCTTGAGCTTCTTGATTTCCGCTTGCGTGAGCGTGTCCGCCTTGCCGATCACCAAAACGATGTTGACTTTCCGATGCAGACGACGCAGCATCTCCAAATCCATCTGCCGCAAGCTAATGACCCGAAGAGAAAGTGAATTGAACAATATTTGTATTGTATCGGTTTCCCTAAGCGCTTTTGGGTACTTCGGGGGGGGCTAATCATTTGAGGAACAATTGACTATTCAAGATTATTAAAACAGCATAAAGATTAAAAATGTTTCCCATATCGAAGAAAAAGAATTTTATATTGTTAATGTTTGCTTTTATATCCCTATTCAATGCCACTTTGTGATTTAAATTTTTTAATAAGCAAAAATAAGTATTTATAGCCAATTTATCCTCAATGGGAGACCCTCTAGTGCTAATTTGACGAAGAAATGTGTGCTCCCTTCCGGGGCGTTTTCTTCTGTTCATCGAGAGTATGACTATTGTCTCTGTCGGCGCGTGGGAGGAAGTGCAACGTACACGTCGCGGTGTCTCACCTGTGTCCGTAAGGTGGGACGAAATAGAGACAGCAGTGGACGCGATTGTCTTGGATGTTGCGCCGATTCAGACCACTTTCGTCAGTGAAGTACTGCCTGAATTGCTCATCGATGTACGCCGAGCACACGCGCCAACTATCGTCACAATTCACAGAATCCCCAAAGCCTGGAGTGTCCACGACGGTGAGCCTGAGGCGGACGCCCTTCTCCTCTATGTCCATCGTCTTCTTCTCAATGCGTGTCGTCTTCTCGATGCGCTCCTCTACGTTGGGAATGGCGCGATTCTTGTACAGGTCACCCAGGAAGAGGCTGTTGATGAGGGTGGACTTGCCCAGGCCCGACTCGCCCATCACCATGAGCGTGAACTCAAAACCTCGCTTCACAGACTTTCGGTGTACTTGCTCAGGCAGAGTGGCGAAGCCGATGTAGTCCCTCTCGCGATCCATGCTGTAGCTCTTGATGCCTGAGGGTGGATGAGAAAGGGTGTCAGAGGGTGAAATTTTCACGAGACTCTGCGGCACTATACCAGCCATTTTTGGTGCTTTTCACAACACTCGAATAGAGGCAGTTTGTGGGCTAATTGGCATCAATTCACTAAACAATTCACTGGCATTTTTCAAATGCTCACACTCAGTGTCCAATTGGCAAATGTGGGTGGATTTGGACACCTTTTTTGGGGGCACAACAGATCTCAACGTCCGTCCAAAACAACTCCACAGACTCTTCTTCCCTTTTCCAGGGCTCGTGGACGCATGCGTTGCGTTTGTAAATCGATTTTTTGGTGTGTGATTTGCCACGAGGGGTGAAGTCCTGCGGCATTTATCCCTCCGTGGTTGAGGATTTGGCGCAATATAGTGTTCAGGACGCAAACCTCTGTGATGAACTCAATTCACGGGATTTACAGCACAGTATATTGAGTGCATTTTTGTGTGGCACAGATAGCGCACAGTCTACAGAAAATCTCTTCTCTCTCATTTACAGACTGATAGCGGTGAGAGCGACCCGTGGAAAAACAGCACAGTGTGATCGCGTGGAGAGACACCAACTGATTTGGAGAGCGGAATACATTAAGAGCTATACCTTCAGCCCAATAACAATGTGCGAGGCTCGTAGATTGTGGAAGAGGACCGGAGAGCGAGTGAGAGAACTGAGAAAAATCATAGTCACACAATTAAGAGTATTTACCCATCCTCCTGACACCGCGCCAAGTGTCTCCGTGGGTTTATTTACTGCTCGTGGGCTTCGAGGAGGGGTTCTATTAATGAAACAGCTGGCTGGTATGTAACGATCACTTCCGACACTCTTTCTCCCTTTTTTATTGCCACCTCTTGCGCGAGATTATCAGAGATCTCAAGAATATTGACCTCTTTTTCCAGCGGAAAAGCCAATGCAGAAGTTATTTGTTTTTTTCTTTATCAAAACTATGCTTCGTGATCGCGCTTGAAGTGAAATTCGAGCGCCACAATGTAGTCAAAACATCTGCGATCTTGATCTGTTTGGGCGGGAATTGAACAAAAAGTGCTAATCAATTTGCATCTCTTTCACGATGATGCAGACATTCTGTTGGGCAACTATGGGTACTTGAGAAATACAGATGCAAGGAGGAAAAAACACTCGAGAGATCTTGTGAAATGCCCAAAAAAACACTCTGAGCCAAAAAAGTCACTAGAAGTGAACATCCTCTACCTGTTTTCATTGGCACTGTTCATGTGCGCGACACAACTGCGAGATAGTGTGAGAGACAATGTTATTTTTTAAACTATTTTTAGTGGTTTCTCGTGCCATGAATACTGACGAGTGTGAGAAAGAGTCCCAGGTGACGAGTGATACGAAGGGGTCACATGCAGTTCCAGAGAAAAGAGTGTCTAAGAGAAATATAATTAAATTTTCGAATTTTCACTCTCGATATAATTCTCACTTATCAACACAGAAATTCGCTACTCTTTCACTTTCAATCACTATTTTTTAGATGGGGAGTGACTTTGCAAATGTGCATGAAATTGTCAGTTTTCACCACTGTTGGTGCTCGAGTTTGGCTGAGTGATGGTGTTTTCAATTCTCGAGAATTGTTAGACTGTCTGAACTCCACAAGTTCACAAGATAAATATTTATTTAAATGTTGAGATCACTGGATTCCCCTCAAATCAACTTGAGATTTTCATTTCAACCACAAACTCTCTCAATGATCGCTCAAGAGATGGACTTCTTGGTTACAAAGTTGAATTTTTTACCATTTCGAAGTCAATATAATTCTCTTAACAATAAACGTATTCATAGGCGTGGCATTCGAGTGGGGTAAACTTCAAATGGGCGGGATTCATTGCCGGGAAAAAATTGCAGATCAAGAAATCTACAATACTCAAGAAAGTAGGCAAAGAGGATATCTTGTCAAAATTGTGCAAATGAGCGTTGTCTGTAAATTAGAATTGCGAAAGTTCACCTACAAAGTTGAAAATTGACTGTGCTTTCAATTTTTTAAATCTTCCACCTTCGCACTGGCATTTATTTATTTTTTCAATATTACAATAATTTAGAGAAAGTAATCAAATGAGCTTGATGTCAAGGTTGAAAGGTTTAGAATGTTTGAACACATCACCTCTTATCACTCGTTGTTTTCTCGTGTTGCTTTTCAGCAGAGTTTATTCTCTACACTTCGTCATCAATTAATAAACTTCTTGAAATTTGCGAGTCATTACATACTGTGAGAAATTATTTTCGTCTTGAATTGTGCACGAATTTGAGATGTATTTGATTTGCAGTGCCTTTTGTATAGATGACGAAGGCCCATCACTTTCTAAACTGTTGTGTAGGCATTATTGATTTGTCTCAATTCGCCTCTGCGGATATTCGAAGCTTCTCCACTGCTGAATGGTGTGCTGTTGGTCAGGGAAGTGGAGGAACGGAATAGCAATCTCCCGTTATGACGGTCAGCCCAGTGACCATTAACGGCCTGGCATCGTTTGAGAATCACGTGGATGCGCACCGTTAAAGAAATGGCTCAGGAGCGCCACGAAGGTGGCGAGAGAGGCGCCCGTGTGTGTGGGGGTGGGTGAATCTTAACCTTGTCGTCAATGCCAATAGGCGTCCTGACGTCATAGGCGTGAACCTTCAAATCCATTGTCTCTCATCTTCTCTCACGGCGTCTCGCGCTAACTGTAAGAAGTCTCCTTTCTTTGCATTACGGGAGAATTCTCCCAGTGGCATTTACCGGTTTCGCTCTCCACCATGAGCTTCTCAACCTGTCCTCCGCTTGACTTTCCTCCACTTGGAGATGCTCTCCGCTGACTGGTGAGCTCGAGTGTCTGGTTAGTTGGTGTTCAGTGGCTGCCAGAGAAGCACACGGGCGCATTTTTGTCTCCGTGCTGGAATCCAGAAAATGCCCAGTGGTTTTGAGTGACGGTGGAATAGGGAAGAATTTTAATGGATTCACTCATTTAGTAGTGAGGCAAGGCAGTTATTGAATTGAAGGAAAGTGTGTCTGAGAGGGATTTGTGAAAAGTGTTTTTTTCTGGGCAGAGAAATTCCGTGAAGGTCAAGAAGAGTCGACAGGCAGCTTCTGTGAGTCTTTTTTTCCCTCTTCATCTCTTCTCACAGAATTATGGATTTTTCTCTCTCTGACTATCCTTCGAGACCAGAATGAAAAGTGTCAAGGTCAGGGTGAAGAAGCGATGCAATTGCTCAGAAGATGAAATCTCCTGAGGAAGTCGTATTGTGAAGATGCTGAAGCGCCCAAGAATGTGTATATGAGAGGGGAAGACAGAGAGAGAGAGAGAGAGAGAGAGAGAGAGAAAATGTGGGTCTGGGTCATGAGAGTACATTGTGAGATTCAGTTCAATTGTAATTTGTTCGTTTTCATTGCAATTAAATGATGAGGATTGAGTGTAAATTCATGACACGGAAATAATTTTCATGACAATTGTGATGCAGCTCTTTAAGCAAATCTTTTTTTCATATATCTTCACGGCTGAGAATCATACTTTGAGGTCAAGTTCAGAGCTGATATTGGCTCTGTGCTGAATGTAAATTTCACTTAAGGTGCCTTCCAGTGAAGTGATGCCAATTTCTTGCCACATAATTCTCAATTCAGATGGAATTTAACACACATTGAAGCTTCATTCCACCTCACTTGCTCATTATTCCTCTTTCGCCACAATTATCTTGCTAAATGAATATGAAGAGACACACTCTTGTCGCCAGAAATTTCTTCACAGCCCCAAAATTCAATGATCTTTTGTTGTTCGCCAATTTTGTTCTTGTTTTTCATTCCGTGACGGGCTTTTGTGTAACTATAGAGAAGTCATTGAAATTATCGTATTTGCATAATGTTTATTGTAAAGTGTGTGGCCCAAAAAGACATGCTTTTATCAAAGACGATGTTCAAATTAAAATTTATTGAGCCACTCTAAGTAATTTGCATAGACGTCTTTTGGCTCCGAGAAATCGCGGTGTTTCAATAAAACTGTTTATGAGGGAAGTAAAATCGCAAAAATCTGAGAATTGTGCAGAATTTGGATCGTAATCTTACAATCAGCACTCTTCCATGCCATTTATATTGTATTTGTTCGATCGATTAATTCATATCTAATAAATTAACATTTTACATTCATAACGTTCATAACTGAAACATTGAGATGATTGGCATCTTATGATTCCTCTTTCGCACAAAGATGTGAATTTGGGAATTTATACTGACTCTTTAACCCTTCTCGGAAATTCTTTTTTTATTGTTTATACCACGCAGAACATCCACTGAATTCCGTGATTTATAATTCCCATTTATCCATAATGAAACTGGTTTTACCGAGTGATAATGACTACACGGAGACTAAAGCAATGTTTGCAATTCTGTCTTGTCTCTAGGAATTCCCCATCGAGTGTTGCGCGAGGAGATAAGCCGTGATGACTTCACAGAGAATCACCCTGCCGGCTCTGCTGGTGGTTCTGTGTGCGTGTCTGGTGGAGAATTTGAGCGTGGAGGATAGTTTCAGCAATGGCCTCAATGTGAGTCTTCCAGAACCACGTGCCTACATTCCGGACGCTCATCTTCTGGACTTTGTCTACCACAATCACGAGGAGATGACGAGATTCCTGCGCGCCACCAGTGCTCGCTACCCCAATCTCACTGCCCTATACTCCATTGGCAAGTCCGTCCAGGGACGCGATCTCTGGGTCATGGTGGTCTCGGCGTCGCCTTATGAGCACATGCTGGGCAAGCCAGATGTGAAATATGTGGCCAACATTCATGGGAATGAGGCTGTCGGTCGCGAGCTGATGCTACACTTGATACAGTACTTTGTCACAAGCTACACCACTGATCCCTATATCAAATGGCTGCTGGATAACACGAGAATTCACATTTTACCTTCGCTCAATCCGGACGGCTTCGGTGTGAGCAAGGAAGGAACGTGCGATGGTGGACAGGGACGGTGAGAAAGAGTGCACTTTTCGCTTCTTCATCGTGCAAAAATTCACACTGAACTCTTGGACATTTCAGCTACAATGCTCGGGGCTTTGATCTCAATCGCAACTTCCCGGACTACTTTAAAGCGAACAACAAGCGTGGACAGCCGGAGACTGATGCTGTGAAGGAGTGGATCTCCAAGATACAATTCACGCTCAGTGGCTCACTCCATGGGGGCGCTCTCGTGGCCAGTTATCCGTATGATAACACCCCGAACTCTAGTAAGTATTTGATCTGTCCCGCTTTTCGTGGCTGGTTGGCGTCGAGAGAGAAAGTTCCCGGTGTGAATGGGCTGAGCATGAATGGGCGCGAGAATGCAAGAGCGCATGAGGTGATTATTTTCAAGTTCATGCTAACACAGGGTGACCCAGGGACTGTCTTCTCTCCTTTGGTAATATTGCAAACTTTCTTTCACAATGTCTGTCCATGAACAATTTCCCTAAAAACAGGGATTTGTCGGTCATCTGCTCTGTGCTCTTGTAAGTTTGTTTGCAGCAGCGAGTGATTCATTCTACAATGATTCTATTCTTTCTGCCCTTTCACGTGTGCTGGTCCCCTCTTGGGCACAGTGTTCCAGAGCTATGCTTCGTCACCATCTATCACGCCGGATGATGACATCTTCCGCCACCTGTCGCTCACGTATGCCAGCAATCATGCCAAGATGAGTCGTGGTGTGGCCTGCAAGACCACCTCGCCTTCCTTCGAGAATGGTATCACAAATGGCGCCGCGTGGTATCCACTCACAGGCGGCATGCAGGACTACAACTACATCTGGTATGGATGCATGGAGGTGACTCTGGAAGTGTCTTGCTGCAAGTATCCGCCTGCTCATGAGCTGCGCAAGTATTGGGATGACAACCAATTGTCTCTCGTGAAGTTCCTGGCTGAAGTGCATCGGGGAGTGCAGGGCTTCGTGACGGATGTGAGTGGAACACCCATTGAGAAGGCTTCGCTGAAAATCAAGGGACGCGATGTGGGCTTCCAGACCACGAGATATGGTGAATTCTGGAGGATTCTTCTGCCTGGAGTGTACAAGCTTGAGGTTTGTCATCTTTTCATCGTATTTTTCAACTAATTGCTTGAATAACTGTTCCTTTCATTTATTTTATAGGTCTACGCTGATGGTTATATCCCTCGTGAAGTGGACTTTATGGTGGTGGATCAACATCCGACACTCCTCAATGTCACTATGCAGCCAGCCAAGGTGAGTTAAAGCACTTAAAACAGTGAAATTGTTTGGGAAGTCAACGATAAGCATGCATTACTCATCACTCATAGTCATATAATTCATTTAGTGATGGATTTTCAAGACATTTATCCGGTTTTATTGTAAGAGCAAATAATAAAAGTTGAGAAACTCATTTTTTGTCATTTTTAACGAGTTAAGCGCTATCGTTTGTAGTGTAACCTGTAAAACCTTTTGTACTTGTACTCTTTTTGAAATAGGAGAAGTAGTGTGAAGCCAAGAATTTTCTATTAAACAGAAGTAGTCTCTTCTGAGTGAGAAAGTAGCCCGTCATTCCCCTACACAGTGATTCACTATATTTGCAATTATCTGAAATCTCTTTGGATCATGTGAATGCACTTGAGTGCAAAAATGGTATAAGAAAATCCATCGCTGATGGTGAAACGACACAGATGTTTACTCACCAACTGTATCACTCACTAACCTGCATTTTTCTCACTCGTCTGCACAAAAGTGCCCCGTGAAATGAGGTGATGGCCAAGTAAGAGTAAAATGTGGTTATTTTCCGTGTGTTTTTGTAGGGATATCACATGTATAATTTACTAAAGACCACCACAACAACAACACCCATTCCGCGACCGCCTCCAGCGCAGGAGAGCGCCGATCAGATACAATTTCCTGAATAGTAATCCGCACCGCCCACGAAATCCTCTCCAAATTGTTGCTAAAATTTGTTCTCTTCAGCGTGTGTTCCTCAATATTTGAATCTCTATGTAAAAACCAATAATGTAGCCGTGATGTTTGTTGCCTTGTTGATTGTATACATTGTATATAAGCGTGTTGGGCGGAATGTGGGACAGAGGGGATGAACTGACCTGTGGTGGAGGAAGTGACAAGAGCCCAGCCACACGAATTAATTGACTTAGATGGATGGAGAGAGGTGAAAGTTGTTGGTTTGCGATTCAATTAAAAGTTGCTCGAAAAAAACCCGCGTCAATTGCACTCTTCCTTGACTGTTCTCTTATAGCGAAATGACGGCACATACTACCGTCCAGTGATAACGCCGCAGTACAGGCCGCCTCCGTCACCCACCAATCAGCAGCAGGACTCTAGCATCTTGTCCTCCATCTCCAGTGGCTTCAACAGCTTGGTGAGCAATTTCTTCGGCTGATAGACGAGGCCGCGACTGACCAAAGCGGGAAACGCTGCATGATATTCACGAATAACCCATCTTTAGTACTTCTGTGCATTTTATTTAGTTTTACTTCGAGTATTTTGTATTTAATGCCCTTTTAATAAAGTGGACGTAGGATTTTACGTTATTTAAGTATATTCAAATTTCCCACGCGGAGTTTTTGAGCTGTTCTCCGCTTGGAGCGCTCATTCGGTTTACGAACGTGAGTGTTTTTTTTTAACCCAAATCTAGTGCAATTTGTAAACAATAAACTCCTGGCAATTCAGTGGGAAAACTACACTCTACGAGACTTACCATGGAAGCTCTGACTACGAGCTCTTCCGATGGATCATTGGCGAGCAGAAGCAGAGTTTCTACTACGAAAATTTCAGTAAAGGAATCACCGGGATACCGTGAAAATGTAGAAGGCTTCCTTGGCAGACTGTCAGGACCATTTCTCTCATTTTATCTCTTTTCAGGACTTCACGGAGTTCACAGATGAGCAATTGGGGCTCATTGAAGAGACTCTGAATTTGATACTGTGGGAAAAGTTTGGATGTGTATTGGAAGATGAAGAACTCCCAGCAAATGTTCTCCCGGAAACCCGAATCACCAACGGTGAATCAGTACAGAATGTCAAGATTACTCGGAAGTCTCAGGAGAATGAGCAGGAGAAAGTTCAAAATATTATCCTGGACGTTACTGAAATTCAAGACAAGATAATCAGATGCTTGTGTGACGTCCAGAGTCACATCCAAAGGTGTGTCCGCTTTGATGAAGATGAGGAAATTGATGCCCAGCGGAGGAGAAGACGTTTCGAGGAGTTCTCCACTCGCCTCTCTCGGAATTACTTATACCGAGTGTCCTGCCTGACTGCTGACATCTCCTCCACGAGATCTCGGAAGCTCATGGACAAAACCAATAAGTTATTTACTGCAATTCTCCGTGCTTTTCGCTTCTACTGCAGCAACATGACAAACTATTCGAATGAAATGCAACAGAAGAAGCTCATGGAAATGTGCCAGGTAGTTTTGGATGGCATCAATACCTGCCTGAGAATGCGAATCTTCGACAGGAATGACGAAATGATCAAGGAAATCAGTGATATGTGCATGGACTTGATAAGAGAGAGTAAGAAATTCTGTGATGTGACAAAGAAACCCTTGATGAAGGTGTCCAAACCAAATTCCACCAAGAAGAAGAAGACGTCAGCTCTACAGGATTCCCTGTCTATGTATCTGCCGCAGAGGAAGACATCTGCGAGAGCGTCTTATCGCACTCCCAGCCAGTCTCTTAGATTGAATCTCCAGGTATGAAGAAAGAAGAATTGCGGGATAATTGAAGACATAACAATTTAATGGCAACAAATTATCTGTGTCGCGGATAAATATTATATTGATGTGAATTTCTTGCGTTTAGAAGCTCTGAAAAGCTGGGGAGGCGGCTTAAATGCCGGCGCACTCGGTGCAGAGGGGCTTATTGTCCTGCACGGCGAAGGTGTTGCCGGAAATTGGCTCTTTGCACTTCTGGCACTTGAAACAATCCTTGTGCCATTTCACGTCCAGAGCGATCACGGCCTTCTCCAGTATCGCATTGGAGCAGCCGGCACACCGAGAGGCGAACTGGGCCTCAAAGCAATCCTTGCAGTAGGGCTGTCCGTCGCGCTCGTAGAAGGAGGCCCCCACCAGGGCCTTCTTGCAGGGCCCGCCACACACAAAGTGTTCCTCGTGCCACGTCTTGTCCATGGCCTTAATTACTTTCTGCTGGAAGGAAGAGAATTCAAAAAATCAAATAATTGAGTACTTCACGAAAATATCCCACTTTAAACCGATATTCTCATGCTTCGATACAGTCATTAAATAACCAATTGGAGGATTTATTGTTGTAAACAACTCAAACGTTGATAAGCAAAGAATGCCACCTATTTCCTCAATTGCAGGAAAGCACATCAGCATGACGCAAGCTCTGAAAATCTCAAGTGGGAAGGATGCGTAATAAAATAAAGTTTTTGTGAAGTATACCAGGATTGTGTTAAATTGGAATTTTCTTGTCGTTTAGAATATTAGTGATAGTGTGTTATCACATTTTTATGGTAATTCTTCAGATAACAACAGAGATGAACAATTAATTGACACTGAATTTGTTTTAATATCTTGTTAATAACCAAATAAGGTCACTGTGTTGTCTTGTGCACACAGCTTCTAGATTGATAGTATAACATTTAAACAATTGTGACCAGTGCTTAAAAGGTGCTGTCCCACTTAGTAAGATCCGTGCTACTGGGCAATCTCTTAGGAGTTTTATTGAGCGCGATAATCTGGCAATAAAGTCACCAAATATTGCGTGGGCAGGGACTCAGGAAGTAATTGTGGGAATAAAATGTCTTATCACACCCAAACTCTCTTCGCTGTGTCATTGAATTTGAGCAAAACATGGCCAGTATTCTCAAGGGATTCTCACCACATTGCTCATATGTCTTTCGCTACATCTATTAAAAAGGTGATCTTTTATAAAAAGTTCTTTAGGTGGAAGGAAGAACGGAATAAAATATGTTTTGCGTGGTTGTCAGTTAATTATAAAAATAGTTGATGATTTCTCTGTCCTTCCTTTTACGAAAACAAGAATTCTTGAGCGTTTAATCTTTAATGTCTCCCATGCGCCTCAAAATATTCACTGTATATAGGATCAATGATTTTCCTGTGGTCTATTTTCATCATCAATTAATCACAATGCCATCAATTTCAATTATATTATAGACATTCGCCGGCGAGAAAGGCACGCAGAGAATGGAAATATTGCTTTGTGGCACTGACAAATTTCACTATATTTACGTGGGTGGCGGAAGAAATTGTGCAGAGTCGCCCTAAATGGCAGTAAAACATGAAAAAATTGCACGATAAACGGCAAAAGTTGGAATCACCGTGCCTCAGAGGGTGGGAGAGAGCAATCTCAATCTATATTTAGTCCATTATTCTATATTTTTTAGACTCCTCTTGTGCCACAGCGAATATAGACGGAGAGGAGGCTAAAATTAAAGACACGGCACGCTCACCAAGGTTCCCTCCAACCGACAAATTATTTCATTGAAGAGACGCTGCGGGAAATACGAGTGGTTTTCACCTCCAAAAGTTTTTCACATAATTATGCCCGCGCTCTGCGTTATGCAATTGGAACTTGTTCTGGCCGATAATACGATTGACTTGCCGATAAAATGTGTTGCTTGCATGCATAGCACACGTCCGTGTATTTGCTGATGTAGCAGCCAGAGCACACGGGTTCGCCGTCCTTCTGGTTAAAGGATCCCTCCGAGATGGGTCGATCGCATACTTTGCAGACAAAGTGCTCCGGGTGCCAAGATTTTCCAAGAGCTGTGAGGATCTGAAAGTACAGCCGGCCTCCAATTAATCACTGATAACCCATGGAGGAGATGGTTAGACTAAACAGATGATATTTTTCGCCCAGTGATCATATGTACAGAAAGAATAGAGACTATAGGCCAATGCAGAGTGCGATGATCTGGGGAGGATTTAAAAGTATTTTCAATACAACTGTCTAAGCGTCTCTTGAGTTAAAAACATTGGACTCTGAAAAATAAAGAAAAAAAACTTTTCCTTTCAATTTTTGCACACACATTCATACCCTGTCACATAGTGTTTTTATGTTTTCAACCCATTTCTTTAAGGCGTTCATAAGATTTGCTAATTTTTCAAAATTGTTTTGATCAGTTACCGAAAAGATCACGTTTGAAATTTCCATTATCACCGAATTATGCAAATTTTGAGACAAATTAGATATTTCGTAAATTTTGTGGTTGATTTTAGGAAATTTTGGTGTCTAGTGGCAAATTTACGTGAGGGTTATTTTAGAATATTAAGAGAAATGTTTTAATCTACTGTATAAACAAATAAATCACTTGATTTACTGACTGATTTGGAGTGTCTCCAAGCATTTCTAATGAATTTTACACAACAGATTGAGTAAAAATGCTAACAAATCTAATCAATTTGACACGAAAACTTTGACCCCATCCTTTTAAAAGCACCTTTCAAAGTGGCAAAGATTTCTAAATTGAGGATATGGCCCAAATTTCCGTGCGATTTTCAGCAACGGCGTGTTCATCATTTGACTGAAGACAGAACCATAAAACGTTGAGGGGAAAGAAAGATTGGTTGGAAATTTAAAAATAGTGAATTCATCACAAAATAAACTCACTATAGTGCCTTTTTTCATCGTGATTTGTGAATGAAAAGGCAAGAGCGAGAAAGAGATCTCACTCATCAAACCTTTTGTGTGTTGGTTTAAATGGAAAATTTTTTGGCTCTACGATTTTGTACACAAATTCATCATATTTCGCCTGACGTGCAATTGATTTCCTTATTATTATTTGGAGATGAGTGGCGATGAGATCAATTTCTGCCCACACCCGGACAGTGTCAATGAATGAGGCATGATTTGGGAAGAGATGGTCGGTAATTTGTGTGTGTATGTGTGGCAAATTGATGAGCGCATCATTAAATTAAATTATTAAAATGGTCACGCGACTAATTTATTAATTTGGCGTTAATACTTACATTTTGTGTAATTGGATTGTTACACTTGCCACAAACGACGTCCGTCTGAAAGAGGGGAAAGGAACAAGATTAATTGGTTGGCAATTTTTCATTAAAGCTCTTTTTCTCTCGGCATTTATATGCACATTTTCGCATAGAGATTGTGTGAAATATTGATGTTTCTTAAGTAGTTGTTTTGCATGAGGGATCTATCATATGTTGGGAGAACATACAGAGACAGTGCGTTGTAGATCATAAAATTCAATCGCTCAAATATGAGTTTGTCTTCTCGCGCGCGCAATATTTGGAGGAGAGTATTTAGCATTATTGTTGAATATTGCTTCGGGTGGATAAAATTATAAATAAGAGTATGACGTAAGTTTTCGACAAGACGAGAAGTGAGGGAAAAAAACATCATTTGAACTGATGAAGCCAGCGAATGAGAAAAGTCAATAGCGAATGCAGGAAATGGTGATTGAGTGCAAGATATAAACATAGAGAATTGACTCGAGTCATCAGCAATGTGGGGTCTCAAGACTGGAATTCTTACATAGACAATGCCACGATACCGATGGATTTTCGGCCGCAATGCGTATTGTTTTCTGCGCTTGAAATTAAAAGTGTCAGTTACGCAATAATTTCTTGATTCATCAACAAGTCTTTTTTTCTACCTCCGCCGCATGACTCTTGTGTAATTTTCTATACCTATGAACCGATGTTGATGAACATCACACGCATTGAATTGTCACCTCTTGAGGAGAGTGGGATACTCCGCTAGGGTGTCTCGATTTGACAATATATTGCGAAGAATTTTCCTTTTCACATGTAAATATGAATCGTATATTTTTCACCGTTTCCTTACTGGTTTAGTAATGAATGCGAAAAGCTCGGGATAAATAATGTGAAGAAGATCAATATATTTCTCTATTGCATTATTTAATTAACATGAATTCTGTTAGCTGCACTGTAATACAAGAATACTAGTAATTGCGACACCCTAGCATTCATCGCTATTGCTTATAGACTCAATTAGTAAATCAAAGAATCTCCTGCTCAATTGCTCGTCTTTGAATGTCACACAAAAGCAGTAACGAAGAAATTGTAGAAGATTCACATGCACATCAGATAAAATAGATAATTGTCGTCTGGGGTGCAATTAAAGTCGACAATTTTATTGTCTAATGCAAATTTGATTGGATGACTTCATCATTATTTACGCGTTTGTAGGGTGTGTGATAGGAGGCAAGAAGGCATATGGATGGAGGAGAGAGAAAATGGTTTAAAATTAATGACACTGAAGCAAAAAAAAAGTGTGGCGATAAAAAGCAAGTAGACAATATTTTGGTGTTTGAAGGAGGCTCTTGGATACATTTTAAAAATAGATGGAGTTTCACTTTGAAAACACAACCCAATTGTGTCTCACACACAAACTCCGCGGAAGGGGGAATTTTCATCAGCGGAAAATTCACAGAGAAATCATCTTCTGTGGGACAATTTTTCGCCACATTCTTGTGCCAATTGATGTGAATTGCTGAGAGGGTTCTGTGATGTTAATGGGAAGTTTGGGTGAAGGCTGACCGGTTGTCTGGATGCCTGTCTGTTCCCTCTTAAGAATAAGACACGGATTTATAGATCGATTTTAGCTGAACTCACAATCTAAATTAATCCTCACTTTATACAATAAATCACATTTTCCAACATTGCGGTTTAATGTCTGTGGAGCTGCTTTTCGAGAAACTCGTGTGAAAAATGCCTATTAAAATGTTTGTTCATCGAAAATAATATTTTCTTGACATATTCTCACGATGAAGAAGGATTTCTATAAATAATTTTGAAATAAAACGCGATGATTAGATGAAATCTTCAACCACTCTCCAACGTCTGGTGGAAATCTCGTCGCAATCACAGTATCTTGAGCCATTGAGTTAAAGCAAGAGGAGATCTTCTGGCAACTTACCATCGCTGAAATTGTCTTCCTTTGGGCACAGAATGAAGAATTAGTTGAGAATTGTTTAATTTCTGGCGAGAAATATTAATAGAATATTATCCAATTGCTGTGGTGTCTTTCTCTGGGCAGGAAAGCGATGACGAGGCGCCTGGGGGGAGTTCTCGAGAGCTGAGCACAGAGCACTTGGACACGGTCACAACTGACGACCGACTAAAGTGTGTGGAGGCGCCAAAGCTCGCGATATCCAACTCACAGTCACGAAGCGTTGTGCAAAATCCATCGATTCGCGATGTCTTTCGCGGCGCATCGTCGGACCGGAAGGACAGGGCGTCCACCCACGCATCCCCATCGCCCAAGGTGTCCAGGTGAGTAATCATGAGAATTTTAGGGCCTCTCCCACACCCCTTCCTCAATAACCGACTGTAAAATCAGTGGGAATTTTCCTAATCAATAATTTGTCAGCGCCTAAAAATTGATTTCTGAACTTTAAAGGCCTCGGCATTTCTGAGACGATTGAGTTGTGAAAGAATGTTTAGACTCACTGCAATCACTCATTATCTTATCAATTGAGTGTTGCGGAAACGCAAAAGCTCCTCTGCGGCTGTTTGATCGATAAATAGGTGCGAAACCACGAATTACGCTTTATTACTCAAACGAATGTCTCTTCACTCACTTCCTCACAATGCCACCTCAGTCTATGTCTTCATTGCAGAAACCTCAATAACCACCCCCACAAAGTCCTAAAAAGATCACATTCTATTTTTACTGCGATATGAGGAGATTTAAGGGTGGCTAAATTACAATAATCCTCAAGTATAATGACATCATGTTTATTATTCTCCATTGAAGTGAAATCTTATCTCCTCTGACAAGGTATTTTTGCTTGGTTCTTTTTAGCTTGAAAGCGAAAGCGACTAAGAGGCACAAAAAGTGAGATAATATAATCAATTGTTAGCATTATCACACAATAACCGAGTGACACTGATATTTTATTCTTGTAGGGGTGAAGGATCCACCCTCGATAATGTCTACATGGAGATAGGCAAGGCAATTGTTGATATTGCTGAAAGGCATGCGATCAAGCCCGTTTTCCTCTTGAAGCTCTCATCCCGCCAAAAGCCTTTGGCGCCATAGAGGGCGCTGAGCATGCTGAAGAGAACCGGCGACGCGACATAACCTCACAAAAGAGCGTGAGTTTCTGTGAGTCCATGTCTTGTATTTTTGTGTAAATTTCCTGCTAAAATCGTCAATTTCGCAGTGTTTGACAATGTCTGATCACAATTCGGACTCCCAGCCCTCCGATGAAGGTGTTAATTACAAGTCCATCAGGTGGGAAGACAGGTAAAATGATAGGAAAAGCATCGCTTTGACATTTTGTTGTTGATTCCAGTTGTGAACAGATCCCGGAGCAGTTTCTAGACAAGACCGTCGCCAAGGAGCACTTTGGCCAATTTGGAGCCATTCGGCGCTTCATTCTTAGGCCGAAAAGATACACTTGCACTGTAGATTATGAGACAGCGGAAGCGGCTGAGAATGCTTTGATGGATGGCGGAGTGTTCAATGACTACGAGTTCCGGATTTTCTTCACACCCAAGGAGACACTAAAGCCCAAGATGTTGGATGACTATATGGATCCAGATGTGCAGGCAGAGTTGGAGGCCATGGGAAATGTCGCTACGAAGCCCCAGCCTCACTTCTCTTCTCCAGGAGTCAGTGGTAAGGAGAGAATTGAGCGCCGAATGAAGACGGTGCCAAAGACTCCAGATGGAGGGATGAAAATAGCCCCAGCATCATCTTTGCCTGCTGTAAATCCCACCACAAGAGCGGAAATTGAGGCTGTGTTGAGAAAACCAGCCTTTACGTCAGAAGAGAAGTATCGCGTTCTGGATGCCAGAGACAAACTCATGCGATTAACGACAATCAAGACGATGGACATTAGGAAGGCGGAAGCGACGAAGGGCATCTGCCCGGATATGTGTCCAGAGAAGGAGCGTCTCATGCGACAGGCTAAGAAGCAAGTGGCATCCTATGAATTGGATTCACGAGGAAATCTCAATCACAAGTACGCCGTGAAGCAGTACTCGAGGAGTTCTGCAGATCAGGAATCTGCTTTGCCGCACGAATTGCGACCAGAACCCGTGCTGAGGATGACTATGAACTACTTGTTGCACAGTATTGTGGATCTGTGCGATGTTGAGGAGACCAGCATGTCGGATTGGTTTCATTTTTTGTGGGATCGCACGAGGAGCATCAGAAAAGACATCACGCAGCAGGAATTGTGCAGCCAGGACTCAGTGGTGCTGGTGGAGCAATGCGCTCGCTTTCACATTCACTGCTCAGCCAGATTGATTGCTGAGGATCCATCGGTGTTTGATCAGAAGATCAACACTGAGAACCTGACAAAGTGCCTCCAATCGCTGAAGTACATGTACCATGATTTGTCACTGAAAGGCGAAATGTGCCCCAATGAAGCGGAGTTCCGAAGCTACATAATCTTGCTAAATGTGCAGGATAGTAATTTCCTGTGGGAGGTGAAGCAACTGCCTGAAAGTGTACAGAAATCTGAGCCAGTGCACTTCGCTATTGAAGTGTTCCTTGCCATGGAAGCCAACAATTACGTAAAGTTCTTCCAGTTAGTGAGGCAGACAAGTTACATGAATGCCTGCATCCTCATCAGGTACTTCAATCAAGTGCGCGCCAGAGCTCTTGAGGTGATTGTCAAGGCCTACACGACTCGAGGATCGGTGGGATATGGCTTGCGACATCTCACATACATCTTAGCCTTTGAGGACATCGAGAGTACGGCGCAGTTCTGTGAGTATTACGGCCTAGCCACTTCTCTGGATGATGATGAGGTGACGTTAAACAAGAACAGCTTCTATCACCCTGACATACCTTTCCTCCTGGACCGTGCCATCAACATAGTGGAGCACAAAAGAGCTTGCTCTGTCGGAGAGGCCATCAGCAATGGTGTCCTGGAATCTAGAGACTCCTTTGAGAATCACCAGCCGCAGAACAGCTTTGATGAACGAGGATATTTCATTGACAAACTTTTCAGCAGAGTTAAAGATGAACCAGATGCTCCAGCTGAGAATGTTTTCAAGATCCCTTCAGGATCGCCACCAATTTCCCCGAAGCAGAATTCCACAGTCTTCAATCGACCTGCTAGTTTGCCAAAAATGCAGGAAACTCCGCCGAGATCCCAAAGTCCAGAGGTAAAGAGTTTTTTCCTCGGCATCGCTGCACCAACTCCAAAGCCGAAGACCTTCTCTCTTAGTTTCAAGACTCCTGCCACGAATGTTTTTGGCGGATTCAACGCACTGAATACACAACCTCCAAGCGGGCTGTTTGCCGAAGCCGCCAGGAAGTCTCAAGAGGAAGAGGAAGAGAAGGAGCGCCTGAAGCAAGAGAAAGAAGCCGAAGAGAAGAAAAAACGTGAAGCAGAGGAGAAAAGATTGAGAGATCTTCGTGAGGAGGAGGAATTGCGGAAGGAAAGGGAGAGACTTGAGCAACAAATGAAGCGCACAAGGAGAATTGACAAAGCTTCCAAGGAGATTCACAGAGAGATCATTGAGGAAGTAGTTGAGGAAAGCTGCAAAGAAGTGGCAGAGGAGGAAATCCACTCACATGAGGTGTTTCTAGAGGAAATTGCGATGATAGCGGAAAAGATTATCCAGGAGACTGTGGATGAATTGGCGGAGAGAATAGTCTGCGGGGAGTACATCGTGAAGAGACGCCTTCTGCTGTTGAAGTATCGAAACCTGGCCAGATGCTTTTCAGCTTGGCGTGAGTTTGTGAATGAGAAAATCAGTAAGAGGAACATTATCAATAACACGCCCATTTGGCTGCCCACGGAGCCTTTGGAGGCCCAAGTTGAGAATTTCAGGCATCCGCATCAAGATGCCACGCTTGAATTGAAGTCTCGTTATAGACGTGGAGTACCTGATGATCTGGATCTCAGTCGGTCTCCTACGGAGAGCATTGACATGTTCGCCGAAATTGGACAAATTTTCCTGCGACAGGCGAAGAAGAGCAATGAAAGAGGAATTCTGAAGTCACACTACTGGTGGAAGTTACTGGTGTGTATTCCAGACGATGGTGAGGAGACTCCAGGATTCACAACGTACATCACCAAATGGCTGGATGGAATATTTCTGCGTTCAAGTGGCAGCAAAGTGAAGAATTGTCTTTACGTAGAGCAGAAGAGAGTGAAGAATTGTCAGGAGAATCTCGCTGTATCGGTGCAGATCGTCAGAGGAGTTAATCAGCTTAAAGATGACAATACAAGGCTCAATCTGGAGAAGGAAATGGCACATGGGATCATCTTTATTCTCACTGCGAAAAATTTGACGAATTCTCAGAAACGGTTGGAAAACCTTTCAATCAATTTTCGTCTTCCGGTGGCTTTTTTCGTCTATAATGGGCACTCACTCACGCCTGAAGCAGTGGAGGAGAGGCTTAATTTGGAGAATCAGGATGTTTCAAAATATATCCTGAAGATGTACGATGAGAATCGGCGCAAGTGCTCAACGTCACTCAGTGCAGTTTTTCAGGACTGCCTCAAATTCTGTGCTCGGAATTGCAATTATGAGCACAATTTGGAGATGATGAAGACGTCAGTGTTTCTGGATGAAACGCTGGGCAGTGTCTTCTGGAAGCGCCTTCACCTCTCAGCTCAAGTGAATCCCAAACTAGCCGCAATTTCGCACAACATCAACTTTGTCATTTCACTCTACAACGAAGCCATTGAAACTATCAAGAAGCAAGCAGAATTGGATAACTTCGATGCAGATCCAGAATTCCCTATCGAGTTTCGGCAGTTTGTGCCCTCTCGTATAGGCGAGACCTTCATGACTTGGGAATACTTCCCGCAGGACTGGCGATCTTCAGGTCGCCTTAAGAAGTTTTATCAATTTCTGGACAACCTCAGACTTCCTTCGTTCACATTCTGTGGACAAGTCTTTCACTCGAGGGACATCGAAAGAGAGTTGAGGAGATACTTAACGCCGCTGCTGCCTTCGGATAGCCTCAATCGCGTAACTTATGGGATTATGGAGCCTCTCTTAGCGACAGAGATCGACGAGAGTATCTCGTGGCTGCGTCCAGTTGAGATAATTGCTCTTGAAAGACTCACGAAGAACTTCCAAACAACGGAATTGCCTCAAGAATTTGTCTACAACCGCAACACAATCGAGAGATACATCACAACTCCCTGGTGGCTCACACTGGATGAATTATCCGTCCAACTGGAAAACGAAGGTGAGCCTGAGCTGAAGAAACGACGACAAGATCCTCTGAATCTCGATGATGTCCTCAGACAAGCGGATAAATCCTTGCAGCACGCAAATGAGCAACTCAAGAAGCGCCAGGGAATTGTTCTGGAGACCAGAAGAATTGGCAAGGAACTGGACACGAAGCTGCTGGAACAGGAGGAGAACAATCGTCAATTGAAGCGAGTGTGGCGTGAGAAACTCTCTCTGTAGATTAGCAAATAAAACGTAAATATATGATTAAACATAATTCTTCTAATTTCACATCAGATTTTCATGATTTATCTTCTTTCCAGATTGATTCCAGACATCCTGGTTGCTTTAGTTAGCTAGCCAACTACTAATTTAGGGGAAGGACAGGAGCCAGATGTCTACTGAGCGATGTTGTAGCGTGTCTTGCACTGTCGCAAGGCCTCATTAAAGCCCTCGCACACGCCCAGGTCGGACTGGCCTTGGGCGCACTGAAGGAACTGCTCGATCTCAAAGCTGCACGGGGAGCTGTACTGTCCGGGTTGTCCATTGCTCATTGGTTGTTGTGGCTGCTGCTGAGCCACTTCCTTGTCTCCTCCGCTGAACATTCCAGTCAAAGCGTGGCCCATGGTGTGGCCAATGGCAGATCCTACGGCTACTCCTCCAGCAGTGGCTGCCATCTGCTTGAACATTGAGGGCTGCTGGGGAGCAGCGCCAACAGGAGCCATAGCAGTTGGCGGCGGAGCCACAGGCACCGGAGGTGGTGAAGCAGCCCTGCTGAAGAAAGAGACTCGGTAAGTCACGCAATTATTTTTGGCACAGCGTCATAAACAATCGGATGATGCCTAGTCAGAAGTTATCTCTAGTGCAACTTGGTGAAATTCCTCGACGCATTTTCTCGGGCTTTTCTAGATCTTTCCGGGAGGTATTTTTCCACAACACTCTATTGTAGGTTATGTTACATAACGAGGTGTTTTTCAGGGGAATTTCACTAATTTCCGGAAGGATCTCCTAATCAGAAATCACCTTGGGATATTTTGATGCGTATTTTCATGAGGTTATCACGGCACAAGTAGAAAATCGTGGCATTTTCTCATGCAATAACAGTGCAGAAAGGTGCAATGATGGGGTGCTTCCTTACCGTCTCTGGGGAGCTGGCGGAGGGCTGGCTGAACGTCCTCGTCGTGGCATTATGACTCAAGAATGTGTAGGTTAGTTTACAATTTAAAGCAAACGCAATATCACTTGGAAAATTGAGAAAATCCACAATCTCCGAGAGCTGAAAACACTTGGCACCGCACTGAAACCTCACTGTTGGTGGCGACGTCTTTTGACCCTTTTATCAACTGCGCGTTACAGCTGAAAACGGCGTTAACACTGAGAGAAAACCAGATGCTCAGCTCAGTGATTTTGCCTCTGACGCCGGCTGCGCCATCTCAGCGACACTAGCCACACTATCAGTGTGCTCCCAGAATAAGCGGGAAAGAGGCACACACAACTGTTTTTCAACATTCTTTTTCCTTCTTCTTGGCAAACAAAAAAGCAAATAGTAGTAAATTGCGACGGAATATGCAACTGCGAGCGATTATTTCACAATGAATACTACACCGCGCGCCGTCGTGGCCATAAAATTGTCTGGTGGTGGAGGCAAAAAGGCCACTAATATGCCTCATCTTTGCAATATATAACATGCAGTCGTGCGATTGGAAATTTTTATCAATAAAATCATTCACATGTTTTTTGAATTTGCTGTGACCAAGGGAGCGAGTTGATACGTTGTGCAAATGGCAATATGTCACTCACGATCTGGTGTGATTGATTTGCTGCCACAGTCACTCCATAAGTTGAGTGCATCCCATATTTGGCCAAAATGCTCAATCACATACCGTAATGACAAATTTTTCTGACCTCTCCTGCTCCTAATTTATGTGCGTCTCGTGGTCTCGAAGCGGGAAAAAGGGGGCCTGAAATGTATATCGCTGTGATTTGCGCAATTTTCTCATCAATTTAAATCCATAGCAAGAAAATGTTCAGTTTGTGACAAATTAATTGAATTAATGAGCCGCAAGTGATTTTGCCTCTTTGGCGTGCTGTTTTGCCGCAAAAATTTGTCTCGAGAGCCAAGCGTGTGGACAAATATGCTGAGAAAACGGTAAAAACCCGAAAGAATGCAAGAAGAATATCAAAATATGGTAAAATCGTGTTTTTCATAGTCGTGGATCTGGCCAGAAGAAGAGAATATTAAACACGCATATCCGACGTGTGTTTAGTCTGCAGTTTTAGAGATTCAAATGGTTGTCAGTCTAAAGGAATTTTGTTATTGAATATCTCAGACGCTTCTTGCTGAAAATTCCTGAAACAGATGTTGAAAATCGCAGTGGGAGTAAATATTTTTGTCAAAAATTTTTTTTTTTTTGCATTATATCAACATTATATTGAATAATCTTGATGTACTCAAGATTGCATAGAAACTTATAGATTTATGTTATGTCATCACATTTCTCTTAGGAATTATCTGTTTATATTAGGATGTTTCTATATGATCACGCCCACGAAAATGCTCCGCCTATTTAAACAAATGCTTCTCTACTTGATTGGTCGAACAGTAGTATTCAGCAGTAGATGCGTTTTGCTTATAGCTAGTCTTTGTAAAGCAAGATCACAAATTTAATGTCCACAGAATGCCGTGATATTGAATATGATGGTAAAAACAGAGGCAATGGAGAGGTGTTTGTACTTTATAATATAGCCATATATGTATTTTTAGAAAAAAAGACACACATTTTGTAAGTGCTTTATCACCCAATCTGATGTAATATTTGTAGGGAATTTCACGTGAAAATTTTCTCTCTGTGGCAACATGCAATTGTCTGTCAGTCAAACTTCTTATCGTAGATTAATTTGATCTTCTAAGGAGAAAGAGTATCACTTCTCTTATCAGTCTCCAGTTGCTTGCCTGATTTTGCATTGTTTACTAAGGGGAAAAAGACGCTTTTTCCTCCTTTGTCTGTGTATGAACGTTTTTTTTTATGTGATGAATGGCAATAACAAACGTAGAATTCAGTAACCCTCAGCCCACACACGGACTCTCTCTCTCTTTCTCTCTCTCGCTGTGTTTTTCGTGAGAGCAGATATAAGAGCGCTATATATTTTTAAAAATGAAGCAAAGATTTCCACTCTCTGGTGGTCTATACAAAAATAAAGAAAGGGGGGAATGAAATGTTGATGAAACAACCTTAAGAAGAGCAAATGTGTGCAAATTTGCCACGGTCAGATATTCTGCTACATTGCCATTGTGTCTCAAGAACACTTTTCCCGCTTTGCGCGAAAATTCTCCACCTTCGCGGATGAGCTTTTGCGCTCACTTGTGTAAAAAAAAAATGCAGAGGTTTTTGCACTTTTATTTGCCTGATAAGGAACCTTTCTTCCGTCTTTTATCATATAAAGAACAGAAAAGTTCACGCTCTTGATGATAAACTCGAGGCTTTTATGGGGCACGGAAGTGTCCTCGCGGTGGAATTATAGGGTTTAAAGCACTTTTCTGGGTCTAATTCGTGCTAAAACATTTCATTGAAGTTTTGTGAATTAATTTATCTCCACACACACACACGATGTTTCAAAGAAAATCATTTACATTCAGATCATGATTTTGGTGGTTGTTTAGTATTAAATGTGAAAATAGCGGAAAGTGAGGCTAGCAATCTCTAATCAATTGTCTGTTGTTGATCATGAACAGGTTGAAGAGTGTATATTACGAAAGAATTCATAACTTCCTGGACAGAACTGCTGAGACAATGATGAGGTGTTTATCGACGTATTTGCAGTTAGTGTGCCGAAATGTTGTCTGTGCAAATTTGTCCCTGCAAACATAATAATTTTAGCGAGTAACAATATTTATCCAATTTGTTGAGTCTCGGCGGGAGTCACGCGGGCGATTCACCGTGGATGACATACTCTGTAAATTGTTTATTTAATTAGAGTCATCAATCTTTAGTGATGATCATTGAGGAAATGTGTGAAAATGTTTAAATTCACTCAAGTCTTGCGCTGAATCAATATTGCCTGCCTATAAGTTTGTGATCAGACACATGCTTTGCATATTATTCGTCTATTTGCACACGTCTCTCTGGCTCTCGATCGCCATCATTGTGGAGGCTGGAGGTCAGATATTGCCGTCAATTTCCTCCCCGTATTCCATTGTTACCAATTCCTTTGCCACCACTGAGTTTGTCGACCCGTTTTCTGTCACAATATTCTCTTTTCCTCATTGCTCAACATTCGCAGTTGGTTCCCATTGAGGGACGATAAAGTGTAATTAATTGAACACTTGTCGACGTGATAATTTGTGGGGGTGCCTCTTTTGTTAAGCACATATTAAATGAGGAAACTGCCACAGAAGAGCACCCGGAAGAAGTGTGCGACTCGGTTTAGTCGTAAAGTGTAACACCACACGTAAGAAGGTCTCAATTCATCTTCTGGAATATTTTCACACTCGTAGCCCATATTATGTTTACACGCATTTCGTCACGTTGACGTTGTCAGGAAGAGTAGCTGAAAAAAATTGAGAAGAAACAGAGGACAAACATGATAAGTTTATCTGCCGAGAGGGGAATATTTATTGAGAAAACATCACCGGCCTCAAAAATGATATGACGAGAACTTCTCTAAATTTTCACCCTATGTGTTTAATTTCTCGGTGACCCGACGAGACAAAGAGCCTGCTTCTGCACAAAGAGGATTTGTCACTGTGCATATGATAGGAAGCAGAGCCACTATCGAAATAATACGTGTTGTTTTGTATTTACACTTCAGTAATTATTTAATATTCCACGTGGCTCTATGTGAATCATTAATTTGTATTTTATCGCATTACCGAGCGTGTGTCTCGCACGACAATCTGACTTGTTTTCTCACGTAATTGTTAGTCTCAATTGCTTAAGTTGAAGTATGAAAATGCGATGAAACACACTTTTTCCTTTAATGATAAATTTCATGATAACCAAATAATTGTAGAAAGATTGCAATATTTCGTTCTACTGAACATTTTGGCGCGCAATTTTATTCTTATATACAAAGATTCTGTATAAACACAATGATACTCAAGGAATTCCTCGATATTTCATTATCCAAGTTGTTTTACAACGTACAATAATTTGAATATGGAAAAGTACCTTACCTCCTTTTTTAACTATGAGCCGATACAAAAAAAAACTATTAAATATTTGTAATTTGGTTATATTTGGAAAATTTGAAAAAAAACATTCAAGAACTCATATTGAAAAATTTAATTTTGTCTTGAGATTATCATTCGATCTTTTCGACTGTCTGCTAGTGAGTTCTAATGTAAACAAATTAATCATGCCATAATTTTTCTCGTGCTTCACAGTATTAAAAAAACATTTTGGAAAAAATAATCGCTTATCAATGACTAAAGTTTATGAAATAACTGGAACAAACTGTGCTCTAATTTCTTCAGTCGTAATTATACTATCCCACGCTGAATCTGAAACTAGATCATGAGATTATTTTATGCTTATTGCGTACAACTTAGAGATAAAGATAAGATTATCATCTTTCAATTTTATTGAATATTTATGCCAAGTCGTTGTTTTCTTTTCTGAAATTGTATATTCTCCCTATTCTCTCTTCTTTCAGTGCGATATCTGAGACATTGAAGTACAAAGAAAGAACGTTACACTTTTGATATGCGTCGGACGCCTGGATTAATCGGAAATTGCCACAAATGACGCATCGCAGGGCGAAATGGAATGGAAGTGTATGATTGGGAAATGTGCGGGAAAGTTGCCACAATTGTCTGGTGATCGTCGAGTGATCAGCATGTTTTATTCAGGTGAGTTTTCCCGCTAAACGTCAACGTGAAGGGGCACATTGCTGGAAAATCGCTGAAGTCTCTCTCCGCTCGCGCGGCTATTTTCGTCGTGATCGCACGATCGTCATCTAGAGTTGGGTTTTTCGAGAGCAAAATTCCCCATAAACACCACGCCATGAGTCTCTCTCTCGGCGCGATCTCTCTGTGTGTGTTTAAGCTTTTGATAAGCACGTCGCGGTCAGAGCGTTGTGTGTAGTCTTTGTCTGAATTGTGGCATGTGAGCATCTCGAGTAGTTCATCTCTGTGATTTTTGCATCAAATCATTTGGCAAAACAGTGCAGTTTTGGTGATCCTGGTGAGGACAACACTGAGTGTGTCTGAGGTTAAAAAAGTGTATTGCAAAAAGTGTTTTTTGGGTGAAAAGTGTGACTTAACGCGAAGAAGGGTGACACATTCGTATTCCCGGGAGATGATTAATGCAGTGACTGTCGATAGAAATCATATGATTGAGAGATTCCTCAAAGAGAAGACTTGAAGCAATAATTCAGAGACAGGATTTGAAACGACAAAGGATGTATGTTTGCTGGGTGAATCCAACTCAGATGGGCATGATGCCGCCAACAATGGTGTGGCCACAGTATCCTGCCCTCCAGCCGCCTCGACACTTCTCACCAGCCCCGCGGATGCGTTCATGGACACAGAGTGAGTCTTCTTTGTTACTTTTTTTTCCATATGTATAATTACTTGTGAGCCTGACAAAGAGGCCTTGCGAATGCATGCGGACGCGCACTGATGATATCATCGTGCACAATTTTGTGGCGCCTGATAAGGAGAATCGCCAGAGTGGGAAGGAGAAGAGAAGAGATCTATGGCCTGGAGGAAGGTGAAGGACAGCGCGTCTCAGACTCATATACGCTTGGATGACGCAATGCATAAGCGTGAATTCCTCTCTGCGTCGCGCAATTTTTGCGAGATCGTGTGGGGCAAGCACAGAGAGAAGCCAGGGATTTCTCATGGATGCTTTTATGTGGCGCAATTCGATGATCTGACTCACCCAATCAAACAACGCCACGCACGGCATCCGTTCAGCGACCTAGTAAATGGGTGACATCTTTCCCGCGATCCTCCGGCCTCGAAGAAGTTCGCGCGCTTTCCAGGTACACTGTGAGCAACGGCGTGCCGGCGTTGGGTGCGAGTGTGCGATCGCGTGGGGAAGAGCAGCTGGTGACGCGTTGCCCCCACCATGCGCTGGCCTGCGGCTCGTGGTGGTGGGATATACAGTGTGAAAAGTAGTTGCGATGATTTCAGTTAGTTGAAAACTCCCAACAAGTTCAAATCGATTTCACTTTTCACATCTCTTGGAAGTTGTGCGACTCTCGGTTCACCTTTTTTTGCAATTCCACCTGTGGGCCACCTTGAGTGTATTTTCACCGTGATCTTGTAATTAGAGTTCGGACTGGGCGGCTTAATCGCGCGGGTGGGAACGATAGGTGGAGAAGAAAAGGAGGAAAACTGTTGTTTTCCACGCTGTATATAGTGAGATATGGAAAAGTTTCTCATGGAGATTCGGTCACATTGCGAGATAAATTGCCATGAACAGAGACATTTACATGTGAACGAGGTGGCGAGAACTCAAAATAATCCTTCAAGTGATTTCAATGGATTTTCTCTTGAACCTCAATTCATGTGAATAATATCGCCTTTTCTCAACTGAGTGCGCTCTTAAGCTTTTGAGAATCAGGAAGTTGGCGACAAAACCCATAAAGTCTGCCCGCGTGTGTGTATGTGTATCTGATTAAAAGTGATTTCGAGAAGAGGAGGAGAGAGGCAACATTGTAACTCTATCGAAGTGATTATGCACAAGCTGTGAGGGCATGTGAAAAGTTCTGACGAAGGGGCACAGAAGATCACAAGTCTCGCACAATCGCAAGTCACATGGTCCTTCAAATGTTCTCGTGCTCGTCGCTCACTGGTGAACACCCAACAGATATACTTCAGATTATCTGCACAGACGATAAGTCCGTGTGTTGTTCAGTGTGGCGTTGACTTCACAGGGAGTCACACACTCTCCGTGTCCCTAGCGAAGGACTCCTGTCGACTCGCAAATCGGTGTAGTGATCAAACATTGAATTGCGCGGGAACAGTTGTGGAAAACAATATCGTGCGCTATTGCCGTATTTTCGTGCAAGTGGTCAGACTTATTAAGTGCGTGTTTGGCCAGCGTTAGAGAAGACGGAACAACAAGGCGATTACGATAGCTTATCCGTGCACGGAAGGGCGCGCAAAAATGGATCTTCACGAGCACATCATGTATTTATTTTTGACAATCTTTGGCCTGTGTTTTGCTCTTGGCTGTTGTCGTCGAGTGAGGAGAAAAAGTAAGAATATTTATCATCATTATTTTCAACGTGGATGATGAAAATCCACAATATCATTCAGTCAGCTGATTATTATGATTTTCGCCATGAATCTTTTGCGAAAAACTCACGTGATAAGAGCAGTTCTTGGGTGCACATTACATCTGAGTTTATCACCACTATTTTTTACCCATTGCCGCCTCTCGCCTCCCCAACATCCGGCCACGAATGCGTGCGCGAGATCTTGAGTGAGATGCCTCAAATATCTCAGCATAATCTGTTCTATTTCTCAGTGGGGCGACGCATTGCGAGGTCAGAGGCACTCCAGTTGAAATGAGGAAAACGGCACATCACTCTGTTCCTAATTCCGCACTTGGAGAGAATATACTTGAAATACGCAACAAGCGGGACTTGTGCTAATCATTAGCACTGTGCCTTGTACCTCTGGTCTGGGCTGCATTGTCGCCGTGAGAAGAAGAGTGTGGCTCAATGAGTGGCCCCTGGGGTTGGATTTTGAGAATGAAAAGCACGAGAGTGTTGTGGGCGAAGCAGAGTTTCACAAGTGACGCATTCTTTATTTTGATGAAGAGGCAAAATTTCTGCTCTGAGATGCTCAGTGTTGATGTTGAATGTGCCAAAAATAGCCAAGATATTCTTCGCTCCACTTGAGAGCCGAAGAAGCGTTGAAAATGGCCACCTAATGACTGAAGAATTAAATTAATTGAATTGGGAAATTGCTGTAAATCACACAGAATTTCCGGTGTGTCTCCTTCGCTGATTGGGGCGTCTTTTGATCTCGGCAATATCTGAGTCGAGAGTCGCTGCTTTTTGGCTTACTTTTTTCTTAGGGATCAAGGGGGGGCGTGAGGGGGGCGTCAATCGAAGGAGAGAGAGGAATTTAACATATGGATTAAAATAGAATTTCAATGAAGTTCTTGCTCGCGCTTTGTGTTATATTGAGGTGGGATTCTCAGAGGCAAATTGAGTGTGAGTGTGTCTCTTAGTGAAATTCCCGCTAAGACATTCCATTCGGAGTGTGCAATTGTGACTCACTGACCCACAGAGGAAAGAATCTCTTTGGGAAGAGTGTTGGAAGATGACAATGTTGATTGGGCTCTCTATCTAGAACTGGAACAGCGCTAGAGGCCATTGACTCTTTCCCGTGCAGACTCTTTCACCTGCCATTTGATCTCTCTTCGCGAGGCATTCTCTCTCGCCATGCAATTCAGAGCAAGAAGCATTGACAAATTCCAAGTCATGCAGGTGAAAGTAACGAAATCTCTCTTCTCTTCCAAAGAGGCGAATTTCTCACAATTTGACGCCTCTCAAATTAATCACGGCACGAGGAAAAATTGAGTTCATGTACACAATTGAGATGATTAACACACTAAAAGAGAGGCGGCACAATTTATCGAATTTATTCATATCAACGGGGTTTTTTCGCTGTTCCTTCTACATGTATGCGACCTCGAAAATCATTCTTGGTTCTGACTCATGGGGAGCCTTCAATTTTCTGGGACAATTCCTCCTCGCCTGAGAATCTCAAGTGCGCGTATTCATGGATGAAGTGGTGCGAGAAGAATCCACGAACAAGTTCCAGAAAAACCACACATGATAATTTGAGTACATAATTCGTTAATGGGTAACAATGAATAAGTAATAAATGCGCGAAGCCTGAAACGGAAATCTCAAAATTGGATAATTCTGTATGCATTGAGCGATAAAAGAACTGAGCCACTAATTCGTGCAAATTTGGAATTAATTCATGAAAAATCCGTGGTATTGAGCGTCCATTATTTCCTTTTTCACTCCAATGACTGAGAAATTCGCCTCTTCGCGCACCAAACAGCCCGATAATTGGTGCATTTTCAACCTATAGAGTCACTCGAGAGACTAGGAAGTGTGTTGCCTTTTCTTATCCATAACATTTCCACTCATTGCCTCTTCCGGAAGTGACAAAGAATGCCTCTTTTCTGCCACTACAGCCCAAAATTCGCTATACCACGTGTGCAAATTGAGGAAGTCTCTGATGGCACTTGAGCAAACACCTGTGTTCATATGATCTAATTCACTCAATTGTCTCTCTTGCAGATGCCACTGGCGGTGAGACGGTGACTCAGAGGAGCCCCAAGGGGGAGACAAAGGCACGCAAAGAGCGCAAGGACAGCAGTGGAATTTCGTCAGACGATGAGGCGAATCTGCTGGAGAAGAAGTCCGACGATGGCAGTAGCGATACGAGCGATGGTGCGGCCAGGAATGTTCGTGGTCGACGCTTCGGCAGCCGGAAGGGCAAGAAGCAGCGCTGGAGAGAGAAATCAACCACCTGTGAAGGTAAGATTGATTTACGATCGCCACGCGACAATTGATTATAATGCACATATGTCCAGTCTTTTCCGGGCGACTCGCACCCACCCGGCTATGCTGATTTTTCGCATTTGCACACGTGGTATCTGGGTGGCGCTCAACAGGCCTGATCCCATTTCCACGGCGTGTGTGTGTCCCACAAATGCCGGAAATATGCGCATTTTCCTGCCCACTTTCATATTCATGCAAATATTTGATATCAAACCGGGAGGAATGTCGATTTGGGTCAGCTTATTGCGCTGAGACACTCTCCATATTCTGTACTTGTAATGTTAGTAGGTACAGAATATTTTGCAGAATTCAACAAAATTTCCTTTGTTTACCTTCACAGTGACTCGCGATTGCTTGGAGGAGGAGGAAGAGGACAAGGAGCTTCAGTACTACGTGGTGGCGAGCAGCAGCAGTGAGGATTCGCCGAAGAAGGGTTCCAATTTCCGTGGGAAAAATACAAAGGCAGCACGCCGGCAGCGCCGAAACCAGAGGAAAGACAGTCAGGAGTCTGTGGAGAAGGTGACCATCGGAAGGAGGGAGAAAGGGAAGAGTGTGAATTTCAGCGGATGCGACGAGGAGAGGATTTGGACTCTCACGCCGCCGTTGCGACAGCACACGAAGCTCAACATGTCTGAGGACATTCTTACTTCCTGCTTGAGATCATACGTTCTCCTGCCACACCAATTGCGTCCGCTGGGCTTTCCAGTGTTATGCGATTGGGATCGCCGTCGCGCGATCATCTACAAGAGCTCCCCAGGAGAGTTCTTCGCACTCAAGAGGGCCTCGATCGTGTCCAGTGGAAGTGTTTTTGACGTGAATGCAGCAGAATTCGTGCCCGCCAGTCACGGTGAGGCACCAGTGATTGTCAATGAATGCGATGGATTGGAAAAACCATCGCAGGAGGCTCTGCTGTCTGAGGACAGTGGCCAGAGTAGTGGATCATCGAGTCCGCCATCAGTGGACGGGGAGGATGCTCTGGATGACACAGTAACGTTCATCCCAAGTGAGGAGAAGCGATGCTGTCGCTGCGGCAGAGGATTCTTTGTCACTGTGGATGGGGAGTACTTGACCCATGAGCAGTGCGTCTTCCACTGGGGAAAGCTTCAGCGCGTGGATTGCCTTCCGTATGGCCGAGTGGAGTTCTCCTGCTGTGGTGGCGATGCTGGTAGCCGAGGATGCACCACAAATAGCCTGCACGTGTGGTAAGTACACTCGGTATATCTTCAATGACCCGGACTCATGTTTCTTTCCGTTTCTTCTGCCAGGTATGGCCTCCAGACGGGTCTCAATGGTCCCTTTGAGGGCTTTATGGCCACTCGTCATGGCGCTTTCGATGGGAAACATCAGATTTTTGGACTGGACTGTGAAATGTGCTTCACAGGCCGTGGTTTGGAACTGTGCAAAGTCTCTGTTGTGGCGTCCGATGGGAGACTCCTGTATGAGCGACTGGTGCGTCCAGAGTGTCAGATTGTGGACTACAACACTCGCTTCTCGGGCATCTCTGAACAGGACTTTGTGGCGCGCGGCCACAATATTCGCACACTGAAGGAAGTGCAGCAGGATTTACTGAAGATGATCAGCGCTGAGGCGATTCTCGTGGGACACGGCTTGGAGAATGACCTGAGAGCGCTTAAGATCATCCACAGGAACATTATTGACACTTCAGTGGTATTTCCACACACGTCCGGACTGCCGTTCAGGCGCTCCCTCAAGTCTCTGGCGAAGACCTTCCTCAAGAGGGACATTCAGACCGCAGCCACGGGACATGATAGCCTCGAGGACAGTCGGGCGTGCATTGAACTGATGCTGTGGCGTGTGCGAAAGGACTTCCGCACCAGCATCAACGGCCACTGAAGGGTTAGAGAGGAGACCAACGAAAAAGACTGCTGCCTGCAGAGATAATTTCTGTGATGTTTTCCCTTTTATTATTTTATTTACACACCTGATATCCTCGCTCGTGAGTTGCTTAATTTCTCCCCACTTAGCGAACCCCCTTTCATTAGTCTTGCGAAAGAGATTTTTTTTGTGCACGCGAGGAAGATAACGTACAAGAAACAGAGAATCTTAGTTATATAAGAACGAGATATAACGACTAAAAAATGCTAATAAAAGTCGATATGAGATATTCTTAATTGAAGACAAATGAGAAGTTCCTTGAATTTGTGGCATTCCATGTTGCTTTCCTCCCATTGTGGAAGAATTATCACCGCACAATGAGTCAAGGATATTCACTGGAGAATCCTTCCACATAATTTGTCATCTCTTCCTCGGCGATTTTTATTGCAGACTCGTGGACAGAAAACGACGGAAAGAGTAACCGGCCAAGCGAGTGAAAGTTACTGGAAAGTGGCCATGGTGACACAGAATCTGGCCAGAGTTCCTCCATGTGTCCCGCTCACTCTCGTGGGAGGGCCTCCCAATGCCACTGCGACAATTGGCATCACTTATCTAATTGGCCGATCTCGCGCGGAGGGGAAATGATTCGGCACGATTACCAAGGCATTGTAAATTCTGTGAAGACGTAATCTTCTGACGCACGATGTTCTCGGCAACAGATGACTCTTATCTGCCTCGTCGGAACATCACTTCATCACCATAGTGACGCAGCGGCGCCGGAAATAGACTCTTTCCTCGAAGATCCGGACATCGGAATGATGAGTAATGTGGCCAGCAGGGCTTCAGTTAGAAGAAAGAACACGTACATCGGACTCGTATCAGAGATCACGAACGTGATTGATCGGGAGGGCTTTATCGCCATGGGGCGAAATGGGGTCTACTTGAGAGTGTGTGCATAGTAATTTTATCAGTGATCCATGGAGACACTTTCAGACACAACACTCCATTCAATTGTGTTTCTGAGTGTCGATCGCCCCAGAGACTGATTGATCGGAGCGAGTTCAGGGTCTCTTCTGGCCTCTATGCCTCTTCTGGACACGCCGCGTGGCCCTCTTCAACTTTCCAGATTGCACGCTGAATTCACGCTTGGGAATCCCTTTGTTGTTTGGGGATCGCGTGGAAGCGGTGCCGTTTGTCATCCGCCCCAGAAGTGCATAATCGTAATTTCCATAATAATCTGGGTAATTATAATAATAGTAATTTCCAGGATAATTATAGTCTGCGTAGTATCCCGCATAATATCCTCCACCATAATAGACGACCGGCCTCCGTCTTCGGCGTCTCCTTCTCCGGCGTCTACGTCGTCTCCGTCGATTACCGCCTCCTCCTCCTCCTCCGCATCTGTTGCAAGTCTCTTTCACTATTGTAATAAATCCTTTTTCCTTGAGTTTACTAATCCCAGTTTTTGCCTTAGTCTGAATCTCTTTTCCTGTGGCAAAGTCCTCAGACAATGGGGAGAGTTTCCACAACAGAAAACAGTAGAGAATGAGTGAAAATCTCATGATGAGCACAGAGATAAGACTGATGCTTCTCGCCACGCGACATTCCATATAAAGCTAATCAGCACTCAATTAGAAGCGCATTATGATTGTTTTTCCTCTCATCACTGCCCTCAATTGCTGTCGACACCTTGGATGGCTCATGGGCGACGTGAGTGGGAAATCCACTGGGTTTTGCAGAAGAATATCCAGGATTTACCAAACGGCGGGAAATCCACTATCCACACTCTGCCTACACTCAGGCGAACATTACACTACCGATTGGAAAGATTCAGACACACATTTCATGATTTGAAGCATATCATTTTTTATTACTTAGATAATAAGCGAATTTGAATTTAACGTGAGGTGAATTACAAAAATATTGGCTTTTCTTTTCACCTTTTTAACGATGCAACGTGAAGTATCCTAACATTACAAGCAAATATCGTAGTCGAGGGAAAAAAGTTATGAATTATCGCCGTCTGCATTGACGTATAAATCTAAGAGTTATCACATTTCAATTGTGTGTACTGACAAAAAAGTTGTATATAACAAAGTCCCAGGAGAGACGTAAGAATCAAGAGCAATCGCTGGTCAACAAGTAGTCTAATTAAGTATTATCGTGTCTCAGTATTATCTACATTATTACTCGAAGTTTTTCTGTCAAATTGAGAGAAAAAAACAGAACTTGTAGATAGGCAGCAATTGCGCAAAGGTGACAATAATCAGCAGCAATCTATATCGCTTTTTTATTCCTTTCTTACAACTTCCTAATAGAGAATCTCCGCTCTTGAGCACATGGTGCATAAAATACGTTATAGTAGCTCTTATTATTTACAAACAAGACTTAATAGTGACACCTCTTCCCTCCTGACTCCTTCCTGCAACAGCCCGCTTGGCTGGTCGCGCTAAAGTGGAAGAGTGTTTCTTGAAAAACAAACTGCGTGTCAGCAATCTTAAGCCGAAGGTGTGGCTCCTCTGCTCCAGCCTTGAGGACACACTCTTCCTGACCGGCCACGGACCTCTCCCATTGGCTCCAGCTTAGATGTCAATGTCAAACTGCTGCTCCTGGTCATGGTGGCGTGCCGCCTGATCCTTGGACGCCCTCCTGGGCTGGTTGGGTGCCTTCCAGGTGTCGCTCTTCTGCGGAGAGCCGCGCATGAGAGCCGGTGGGAGGTTCTTCGGTGGGGTGCGACTCAGTGGAGAGTTCTTCAGGTTCATAAGGAAGGCTCTATCGTAGATTATGCGAGTGCCTGAGGAAGCATATTCAAGCTATTAATAAATGTGTGTGTGGCCACTTCTATTTTCTAGCACCGTCTCGTTCACATTATCGGCAATTTTGTCCGCAAGTGCGAGAAAGAATGAGGAAAAGCCATATGCCGAGGGGTTAGCAATGTGTGTAGAATTTTAATAGAGACTCTCTGAATGTCGATTAACCAGAAATCAACCCTCTTTCGCATGTATAACCAATATTTCTACGTTCGATCAGCAAGATCCATTTTTACACTATGAGCAGGTTCTTAAAATACCCTTTTAGCGTCAATAACAGCAAGTGTATCGTAAACAGCGGTTTTCCTCGAGTATTTATAACAAAACATTTATTATGTCGCGTTAATAAAGTGGTTTAGTAGCTAGAACCATTGAGAATTGTGTACAAATTGTTTATCTGTTTAGCAATCCCCCCTCTAAAATAGTCAATGTTTTTGTTTACTGTTTCTCACCCACATTCGACGCTTACCACCTTCTCACCCAACCTGTGACCGGATTGGGTTTTTCGGACCTTGTCTGAGGTCTCAGGTTCAGTGGACGATCTGGATGACCACACTTGGCTACACTTGAAATTCACCCAATGACCTTCCACTTTCGTTCGACGCAATTGAGCAATACCATTGCGAGACGGAGATTTTGTGCTGCCTTGGCAGCGAAAATGGGCGCCCCAGACGAGACTCAGCATTAATATTCATGTCCCCCCTTCGCAGAGAGCGTGTGTGCGATTAGATTGGGGAATCGACTGCCGGCCGCAATTTTTTTACGTGTCAAATAATACACCACCCGGCGTCTCCACTGTCCCCTCGACTTTTCTCGATCCACTTTCCCCTCATTTCTCCGCTTGTTCTCCACTTTTCCCACTATTTTACATACGTGGGTGGTGGACTTATCTTCATGACTCTAATTTGATCAGGAATTCCTCCTACTTCTTGGCTAATTTGTCTAAACAAGCGTCCGATGAACTCACAAACATTCTTGCGGTTATATAGTTTCGTCTATTTCCTAGCTCCATTTCATTTATTTTCAAAATTACGACGTCGGCAGATGAGCAGGAGTGCAATAAATAACATTTCATACGCGTAATTTATCACCGCACGGGCCAAAAATAGTCCCAAAGGAGAATTCAACACGCGGTCTCGCGAGCCACGACGCAATAGCCAAGTTAAATCCTTACCTCCGGGCGTGGTGGAGAAGAGAGTGCCTCCTGGCGTGGATGAGTAGACATCCGGCATCTGCGAGGCGTCCGTCACGAGGACTCTCTTCGAGGGAATCGTCTGGGCGTGGGAGCACGCCTGTCTGGCCACTGGGGATGCTGACATGCTTGGCAGTGTTCACGGGATGTTCTATCTTTTCTATATCTTAAATTTCTTGCTTTTGTACTCTCTAGCGAGTGCGACACTCTGGATGTGGCTTCTTCTACAGCTTTGCGGAACCGATTTGTGTGTTGACACTTTTGAGAGGTCCAACAGAAAAACACGCACTAAAATTCTTTGAGGCTCGTGGGAGACTTTTAAAGCTCCACCACGAGAGAGATTTGGGAGGGGATCTGCGAGCCTGTGTGTGTGACCGTGAGCATTCCCTCCCAGTCGCTCTTGCTCTCGCTATCAACAGAATTACACTGGCAGTGAGAAGTATGCGCACGCCCATAAAGTAATCATAAAAGAAAACTATTCGAGGCGTAAATATAGAAAACTAATAAACTTGTTTATCAGCTGAAGTATCTTGACTGCGACACCTGCATTTTTGCTTAATTTCCCTGCATGAAAGCACGCCTTTAAGATAAACACTGCACTTAACAATGTGTGCAGGACCTCATAATGTGTACATAGAGAAGAAAAAAGGCACATTTAACAGGACTATTGGCTGGAATTTAACAATTTGAAGATTTTTACCAAAGAAAATTAATATCTTTCTCATAACTGAAATGGGAATCAATTGAAACTCTTTTTCGTTCTCAAATTGCCTTAATTTTTATTAAATTCTTGTGATCCTTCGCAAGATGAAATTGCATGCATATTCTCTATATTGTGTGTTCGGCTTTACACTTTTAACTACTGAAACGCTTACTTTACTAGAAATATTCAGCCATGTGAATTATTTTGATATTTGCACATAAAGTTGTATTTTTCTCAACCAATATTTGCTTTCTTGAAAGCTTGCTTCTTTATCGCTAGTGTAAAAATTATGATGATTTCATCAGCAATTCTCTCGGGTGCACTGATAAGGAAGTGTCCCAATATTTTCTCCACTCACTGTTCATTGAATGCATGAGTGAGATAGTGAGAACACAACACACCACGAATATTTATGATTCTCTCTCGCCAGGAGTGGAGTCTCTCCCACCCTGCAGTCGCTCTGAAATCCTCTCAAGTCCCCAGAACATCTCCTGCGGAGCCCATTGAGAGTCCTGCGGATTTTGGCGCGCAATTTCTAACTCTTGCCGCCGGTTCTCCGGCAAATTCGGGGCCTTGGACAACTCTTCCGACCAATGCGTGCCTGCCTTTTCAACTACGACGTATTTTTGTGCTGCTCAGTCGTCTTTTCAGTGCGCAGCTTCTTATCATATGTGGTGAGGAATGAACAACTGGCAGAAAAAAAATCCCTCCTCAAAACAACACACCGACATATACAAGTTCATGGGCTTCGAAATACTGCGAGGAGGCGCGCACGTAATCTACATAATCAGCATAGAAAGGCACACACAAGAGATTTTATAGTTTGTTGACGACTCTGGGTGTCTCTCTGTGGCTCCTCGTGTGCGAATTTACGCCGGAAAATTGTCCACGTTGGACATTTTCGACGGCGAGAGAATGATAACGGGCCTCACTCTTTGCCCTGTACCGGTTAAGTCCGGAAGAAAAGCATGAAAAGCGAGAGATTTCGCACATTTCCTTATCAATGCCAGACTTGGTGTGTCAGGAAAATATCAATGTGGTGAGGAAACAATGGAAAAGCTCGTCTTAATTGCTCAATATCGATATTAGTCATCGAAAAGTAAAGAAAAACCATTCGGCTATTTGTTCTTCACAGTTTGTGAGCGGAGAAAAAGTGAATATTTAAGTCTCTTGTTGATCACCCAACTCCATCCCAAATTCCCGTCTCACAAAAAAGGTGGATTTTTTTCCGATGATCTCCTTTGCAGTTCCTCCTCTCGCGGAGAACTGGAAATTGAGTCAATGTTTTCGTCTGTGCCGGCTAAATATTTACAATTTGAAGAGTCTGCCTGGCATAATGATGGCTTCTGCCACGTTGGGGCGCAAAAGGGGGCCACAGCGCGTGATAAAATACAAGAAGCCGCTGATAATAAGTGCCTCAGTGTGGCCACTGCGAAATGGGGTCACACACAACCCACAGTGACTCGAAATTTGAGAGAGGATTTGGCCATCAATTTGCCGGTTTGCCTGAAAATTTCCAACACCGAGGGGCCAAAAACAGTCACAAAACCCGTTCACGCGCCACAATCCAGGTGTAAATTTTCCATGCGACAATATTATCGCTTGTTGCATGATTGGCTGACCGAGCTGACCGCAGAAGATGAAATATTTGGCACTGAAGTTATTCACATTTTTTGGCACATTTGCATCTTTGCATGACAATATTGTGATATTTCTATTAGCAAAAACAAGTTGTGGCGGATCAATTAAGATTAAATATTTTCCAACTGCGCACGTGCTTCCGAATGTTCCAAAAATCGCGAAAAGATCACGGTTTGACGACTCGATAGAGATTATGTCATAAAATTATATCAAAATTATACAGGGTGCGGCGATTGAGTTGATATCTTTGATATTATACGCATTGCGGATTAACCGAATTTTCACATGTATAAATACATAATTTTCAAAAGGTATTGGTTTCATATTTTTTCTTTACAGTTTTATTGCCACACTCTGTCCTACTGAAGCATTGTGAATTTTCTTATTTCAAACTTGATGTGCTGAAGAAATTATTCGGCCAAGAGAGATGGCAAAGAAAAGTATGGGAAATTGACCCGGGAAGCCCCGTGGCCCAACTAATGCGATCGTTTTTCCGCCCAGACCTCTCGTGAGGGAGTGAAAATGTGCCGAAAAAGCCATAAAATGTATCTCGATTTCCGTTCTAAATTAATGACTTTTTAATGGAGTCCTCGAGCTGCTCCACTGAGGCTATGACTTGTGTCCCAGAAATGCCAGCAGTCTGGCGAAAGTGATCGTGCGAGATGCCAGGAAGAGCGATCGCCTGGCTGGTCCTCTTTGGACTCTGCTTGAACCCGTCTTGGGCAGAAATCCAGGGCGCCCTGAACTTGGATTCCTCAACCGGCACTGATACATTTGGAGCAAGTTCCACTGGATTTGGGGGCAACTATGGGAGCTCCTTGCCCGCCTTGCCAGACTATTCATCTAGCAGTTCCACTGGCATTGGTACAGTTACAGACTATTCAGGAGGATCAAGTTCGAACTTTGGCGGTTTAGCGCCCATTGTGGACTATTCCACGGGCGCAGGCTCGACCGGAAGTTTTGGAAACTATGGCGGATCCATAGGCGGCAATTACGGAGCAGCCCCAACACCTCCACCGGGTTATATTCCACCCAGCATTGGCGGAAACACTGGAGGTAGCTATGGATCTTACGGCGGAAATACTGGAGGAACAGGTGGAAATTATGGATCTTATGGCGGAAATACTGGAGGAACAGGTGGCAATTATGGATCTTACGGTGGAAATACTGGAGGAACTGGGAATCTGCCGGGTGGGAATTATGGATCTTACGGCGGAAATACTGGAGGAACAGGAGGCAATTATGGAAATTACGGAACCTCTCCTGGCGGTAATTCCGGCAGCTACCAAAATCCCGGGACCCAAACAGGATACAATGACTACAGTTCTGGCGGCAGTTACTACGGCAACGACTCTCCTGCGTAAGTCACTATTGCGTGATCTCTTTCCTCGTCGTTTCAGAAAAACATTGTTTAAAATGCAAATGAATTTTCTGCCAGTATTAGGAAACAACGCGAAAAAACATTGGATATGCGCGCAATTTCTGCGTCATTCTTGCATACTGCGCAAGCTTCCACAATGTGGCCATAAATCGCTCACAGGAAATGTCGCGAAAAAGAGCCATTGGCTTTAGTGGACAAAGTGACGGTAAATTATCGAATTATAGTGATATCAGTGATTAGGGGAAAAAGTTCTCAATTCTCATTATTAGTCACGCTTCTTCTATCCACCACCTGTTGTGGATGTCAATTAACCATCTTTTTACAGTTGTTCAGCAAATATGCAGGAAATTGCGCGATAATTCACTTTTCTGTTTGCTGTGTCTAAAATTTTTCACGAGTTACACGACACTTAAGCCAGAAAACTTATCTTGCAAAGTGATCTCTTATCAAGCATTTCTCTCTTAAACCTCGCATGACCTCAAGAATAAAATGTGGTTTTAGATAGAGAGAAATTCTCATACAAAAATAAACTATAAAATTAAATACAGATTAAGCAATATGCATGTAGTAAACATGGTGATTAGAACTGTGAAAATTTTATACGACACGAAAATACAACGTTGGCGAATGGTTCTGCAAAATCAGCGGAGATAATCAAGATATCTATGATAGAAATCTACAATTCTCTGTCTATTATAGATACTATCAAGATTACGATGTTGACGGCGGAACCAGCAGACCAGGAGGACGTCCAGGTGGCGTGTTGAGACCTTGGCGACGTCGTCAGAGGCTCAGGAGGAGGAGAAACCGCAGGCGTTTCGGAAGGCGAGGGTTTCGTGGAAGACGACGCTTCCGCGGACGGCGCAGGTTCCGCGGCGGCAGACGCCGACGTGGCGGGCGCAGAGGAATGAGACGCCGGATGCGTCGAATGGGACGCCGACGCATGAGGAACAGAAGGAGCGCCCGGGAAGTGTCTGCAGCATAATATTCTATTCGATTTAGAGGATAAAAGAGAGAATAAAGCAGTTCCAAGTATTTTCTCTCACTTTATTTTTCAATATATTTTTTAATATATACACAATATTTAAACAAATTACTTTTTCTCTCTATAATTCCCTTTTTTACTCCATTCCTCTCTCTTTACAATATATAAGAAAAAAAAATTACTGTGAATGAGGTTTGTATGTTGACGATAATATTTTCATCTATTTCGCATTCTTTTCTCCTTTTTTTTAAATTAAATTATATAGTACCTACATTTTTAGTTTATGAAAATATTTTACTGATTTGGTTTTCTTTCCTCCACTTTTGCTACTCTATCGCACGCTCGTGTTGGCTTTTTTTGTATAACAAGTTGTAACATTAGAAACAGACAGAAGAAAAATTGACTTTGAAATTAAAAGAAAAACAACTGAAAGGGAAAGGAAAATCAATTCTTGCTCTCTCTCTCTATCTCTCGACCGGTGGATTTTTCTGACATTCAAATAAGAGTTGCTGAAAACTAAGGAAATGATATAAAATCAAAAGAAGAAAAGCAGAGAACATACGAAAGAAATCGTTCTTTACATTCAAAATCTACTACAATATTTAGATTCTGCGGCAGTGAATATTATTACTTTTCAAGAGTTATGGCTTGTTTTAGAAAATGTTACCTTTTTATATTTGTGATTCTACGGGCTATGTTTACGTTCTCATATCTTGTTAAACTTTGTCGCTTGCAAAAATGTTTGTCTCTGAATGAAAATATAGTTTCTCCGTTTTTTTTTTTACATATTCTTGTTAAAGAGTTTCTTATTTTGTGAATCTGTTGTAAGAATATCTCTGTGATTTCTCGTCATGCACAATAATTTTATCTTATTTTCTTTGTATATATAGAAATATTTCTCTTATTCACTTTTGTTCATGCTATATTTTTTGTTTATTAACATGCTAGATTTTTTCCGATGCTTCTTTCTTTTCTCTTTTACTTTATTACTTGTGGTTTTCTTTATCTGTCAATAACCTGTAATGCACTTGAATTATGTACTATTTATTTTAAAATTATTTTGTTGTTTTTCCTCTCAGTATTATTTCTTGTCTCTACAGTGTTTTTACGTGCTTTTCTATGTTTTCATTATCATACGCTGTATCGTGTGTTTTACCGTTTGAAGTGTTGCAAAGTCCAAAAACGTAGGTAATTCAGAAAAAAGAGCTTTCTCGAAATTTCCACTCTAGAAAGGTACTTTTCTAACAATTACAAATATATAGTTGCTGTATAAATTTAGTTTTTAACCCAATTTAATACTAATTCCATCATTTTTTTCTTTTGCTTTATAAATTTATAGGTAGTTGAAAATACAGTAAGCGACATTCGATTAATATCAGGGATTTTTTCAGTATTATTTCAGATTCGATAAAAAAAATGTACCATTTTAGAGCAATAAAATACAAATCATCTTTCGTTATATGTGAATTCATTCATTCTCAGATAATACAATTAAATCTTGATTCAATAAAAATTGCAGATGACAAAAAATATGAAATTGACTGATCTCCTGATCTCAAAAGAATTTCGTTCACTGCATAATTTGTCACACATAACAACATTCATCCACAGAAAGAGACAGAGAAAATCCTATTATGACTCTCTTTTGTAAAATGTCCCTTCAATGATCAAGAAAACGAGGGTTAAAAGTGCCTTTTGTCATAGATAATTTCAAAGACATTGAGATGATATCAAATCAACAAGTATAGATCGTATACAGAGCTTTGAGAAAATGGGTAAAAGATTGTTATGTGTACTCTATTTGCTGTTTATATTACGGTTATTTCTCGTCAGTGCAATGAAATTGACAACAAAGAATGCAACAACGTTTTTGCATTAAAGATTGTTCAAAAAATTCCACCATTGAGACGTTTTTATCGCCTGTTTTCGTCCCAAAGTGTTGTTTCTTTTTTTTTCTTTAAATTTTGTGTGTTATCGGGCACAGACAGTCTTTTCCATTTTATCTACCTTTTTCTTTAATCTCTTCTTTAAACATTTCTATTCATCTAATATGCTAAAAATATCTGAAGTTTTTGTCCACTATTCTTAAATGTTTTTCTTCATCTCTTAATAGTTTTTTATTCACATCTTCCACTTTTTCTTTCTCTCCTTAAAATTGTAGCAATAGAAAGAATTTTGTGTGATCATTGCGAAACCGTTTTTGCAAATTTTCCACAATATTATCATTAGATTTAAAAAGTTGAGATAAAATAAAATTGTTTTTTTTTAATTTAATTTTATCCTTAATGAGAAATCCAAAAGAAAAACACTGTCCGAAGTCGCTTCTTATGTACAAGAGACATGATTTTATTTAAACAGTACAGATTTTGTAAGAAATGCGCGATGACTTTAAAAATTTTGCAAAAATTTTCCTTTCACCTCAAGTGTTTCCTTTTTGAAATATATTTATTGTGAGTTCATCTCTTTTCAACGCTTGTTCCTAAATATTACAGTAGCAATATATAGACTTTCTTCTAAATATAAATTTGTTTTCTCCTTGTTTTAACTGTAGTGTTGCTGTAATTTTGTACACAACTGTATTATTTTCACGCGATTTTCCCTCAATCGTTCAATAAAAGAAAAAGATTTGTTTTGTGTTGTTTTCATTAAAAAAAAATGATTTGGAGATGTGGTAAACTAAGGTTTCATCAATAATTAATATTTCTCTCGTTCTTCCACTTGTTTTTTTTTTTAAGTCATTAACATATTTTTATTCTCACATTATTAATGTATGTTTTTTAACTCTATCATATTCAATTACTCCCTCGTAACAAATTATATTAATAAAATGTTTCAATAATTTTTTTGTGGGCTTTTTGTGTATTTTCCTCTATCAATTATGTATTTCAATTATTTTTACTCTCGTAAATTAATAGTAAATCACAAATATCACAAATAATTATATATTATTCCTCCTCTTAGACATCTTCTCTCTATTTACATTCCCTCTTCGCTCCATCTTCTTCAACTCACTATGCTTCTTTTGCAATTAAAAAAGTTATATATCCACTATGTTACTTCATTTCACATCTTTTAAAAGATACACATTTTCATTATTTATTTAGTACCCTAAAATTAACTTATATTTGTTGTTTTGCGGTATCAGAAAAATATTCTTTTTTTTTAAGTCAGTGTTGTATTTCTTAACACCTTCTCCATTTCACATCTCCTCTTTCGTATTTCTTCATGAGTCTCTGTATTTTTTTTTCTTTTGTTATTGTTAGTAAACCATTTTTCTTATCTCTCCGCATCCTTTCGTGTGAATTTTATTATTTCACAAACTTTTGAACTAAAATAGAGGTATTTTATTCTTCTCTTTACCAACTCACCAACTTTTTGTGTAGAAAACACGTTTTTTATCACTCTCTCATCCTCAAACTTGTTCATTTTTTCTTTCATTTTATCTTGCATTTAAATATATATTATATATACTTTTCTTCCATCATTTTTCGCTCTCTCTCTCTCTCTCCTCGCTTTTTTTGTGGTTTAGTAGTCAACAATTTATAATTTTTAAAATATATTTACATCTCCTGAAAATATCTTCTGTTCCTCTTTCAACAGTTTTCAAACCATCTCATCAGTAAAGCATCACAATTCTTGTCAATAGTTTCCCACCCATTTTCACTGTAAAGTTTCTACCTTCTAGTGTACTTACAATTTCTCACACCCTAGCCATCAAATTCGTTTCTTTCCTCACGACCAGGCCACGCTCAATCCGATAGGAGTTTCTGGAGTAGCAAACACGAATTCTTAGGGTCACCGAGTGACACTACCTCCGAAGAAATCTACAAAGACAAACGGAATCCATCAGTCCATTGTGTCACGCAAGACATTAAAGAGTAATAAAGTCAAATGAAAGACTAGAAGGCAGCATCAGAAGGCACAGACACACAGAAGGCATGCAAATATTTGGCAAAGGAATCCACCCACGGTCATCTTCTGTCTCTCAAGGGTATAAAGATGCCACATTGACAATCTCTATAGGAAAAAGCCACACACGAACTGTTCACAAACCACTGAGAAATTGTGCTAAAAAATTAAAGAGTAAAAAGAACTTGTCTCACAACAGCAGCTTCCTTACCCTCAGACCAGAAGGATCATCCGGTGACCAATTAGCTGACAATTTACCCTCAACATGAGCCGCACCTGCACTCAAAACATTAAACATTCAATCACATCCACTCATTCCGCCAAAATAAAATCCACACAGAGTTATTAAAATCTGGGAGCGGAAAAGGATTGAGTTCCCATCGTTCAAGAAGACTGAACATTTTTTCGCCATTGATAAAACCAAAAAAAAAAATGCTCTCATGGTTGAATTTAATCACAAATTAACATACTATTTCTCTTAATTGCTAAACCATGAGAAATATTTTTTGATTCTCTCATTATTTTTATGATTCACTTTTGTCTTTCTACATAAAAAATTGAGCGTTTTTTAAGATCTTCTGAAAGTTTTTTCCATTTCAGTATTGTAAATGTACAATCTAAAATTGTTCGTGAATTTTCTTAAGCTAGAAGACTTTCAGTGCTTCTTGACCGTTGAAACCCTGGTTAGTTAATCAAAACAAACGGGAACAACCAAAGCATAACACCTTCTGTCTCTCTCTCCACATAAATAAATCTAGGGAAACCCACTGACGACCAGCGATCAGACAGGTTAGGCTAAGGGATTCTCACCCGATTGCGACATGTCAAAGCTGAATCCCATCGTCTGGTCGGGGGGAGTGTTGAGAAGAGGCGCCGTGCTCATTTGCTGCGACTGAACGACTCCACTGCCTCCTCCGCTGCCTCCGCCGGGATTCCCGCTGCTGGCCGGATTGCCCACAAGCGGACTCTGGCCCATGCCACTGTGCGGACTCTGCGGCGTCCTCACCTGGCCCGTTTGCCGGTTCTGCACGTGAGCACGCAGGAACTCACGCGCCCCGTTATTGTTGGCTCCTGGAAGCACAAGAGAACCGGCCATGATGGCGTTAATGCCAACATCAATTAACCATCGAAGCGTGGCGCTCTTTCGCATCCAACGAACACCACACACCAATGTAGCAGGAATAAGAAGTGACAAGAATATATGTGCACAGAGTTGGGAAACTGGCCGTATTTTCAAAACAAAAAAAAAATCGCTTTGAATATGTAGTTTGCAAATTTGCAGTCCACCCAACTCTGTGCCTGAATAAATATAAATAAATTTAAATAGTGTGAATCCACGCGTGCGATGATGATGATGAATTATTCTGTGACTTCGTTCTCTCTCTCTATCTCGCTCTCTCTCACTCTCTTTCTCTGTACATACTCAAATTAGTCTCTCTCACACAGCTCCACTCATTGCGATATGATGCAACAGACAACACTCACGCACAGATAAAATATGGCATTAATCACAGATTCTCTCTTTTGCTCTATTGTGTGATCCCCCATCAAAGAGTGAGAATATAAGAAGAGATAGACCATTTGCAGAAGAGTCTCTCTGACAATTCAATTCAAGGACTCAAAATTTTGCATGTTCAATTTGTGTAACACATTGTCTGAAGACGCTTTGATTGCTTGTGGTCAAAAATTAAATTATCAGAATCATCATTGATCTATATAGAGTGCAAAATCTTATCCTCATACTTGCTGTACATCGAGATTATTCCCATTTACACGGGAAAATCCCCCACCAACCAAACCCACCGACTGAATACATAAATAAAAATACTATTAAAAATGCTTATGGTGTTCTCCTGTGTGAATATGTGAGATGGATTATAACCAAATATAAAGACACTAACATAGAATCTTATGTTGCAAAAGGCGCGTTACATAAAGTGGGTGCAATTAGGCTCTTTCTTGCTTCACAAATAAGAACAGTAAAATGTATATATGTATGTATATAGTAACAGTAAAAAACATGTAACAATGAGAAAATAAATGCCATATGAAACATATACAAAAAAAAGAAAACAAAAACGAATATCCCGATCACCAAATGATGCACCTGTGTGTGATGCACTTCCTCATATTAACAAAAAAAATGTGATCAAATCTCAAATAGGCACTCTCTCTCTCTTTTCTGCATGTCTTCCCATATGCAAAATTCAAGAGAGATGTGTAATAAAGAGAATAAATTTGATAAAGGAATGATAATGCCACCCGCTTTAGCCTCTTTTAGCGCCTTACCGGACTGTGGGCGGCCATAAAAATCGCCCCCTGAGCCTTGTGCATGTTGCATATTGTTGTAAATCATTCCATATCCCGTGGCATCGGGAGCGCCAAAAGACCTCGGGGATCCTGGAGGAGATGGGACATTCAGTGATAAATATAATTGACAGACAGAGAAGAGAGGGAAACAGCTTTTCATCCCCACATTCACACACTCCTGCCCATACACCATCCGGTCGTCCTGTAAAGCAAAACGGACATCTCGCGGAGCCGCACTCCCTGCCACTCACCTGGTAAATGCTGTGTGGCTTGGGGTACACTGGCCTGCCTCTGCATCCTCAGCTGTTGTTGATTGAACACACCCGCTTGGCCAGGCACTACATTTCCACCCGTTGACGCTCCATAGGGTGTCTGCGTGGGACTCGGCGGCCCAGGGAAGCCCTCAGGGCCAGGGAAGGAGTTCTGGCGACTCACTGGTGTGCCTGGTGAGTTCAGAGATCGCTGCCTTTGCGTTTGAAACTGACGCGAGTTGTAGCCAACAACATTCTGTATGCAAAGCAAATCCATTAGTAAATGTATCACTGCAGTAATATGTATATGAATTGCCTCACCGTGAGTTGAGCATTGAGCATGGGATTCTGCTGTTGCTGCAGTGACAACCTCACATTGGCCTGTTGCTGCTGTTGCTGACTCCATTGCTGCTGTTGCTGCTGGACAGATGTGGCAACAGTTTGTGGCGTCTGCTGCTGATGAATGGCACCTTGGCCGCCAAAAGGTGGCTGTCGCGGTGACAATTGAGCAGTTCCATTCGCTCCAGATCCACCAGAGAATCCTCCCAATTGCTGTTGCTGCTGTGGCGACAGACGTTGTCCATTATTGGCACTAAAGGACGCCTGCTGGTAGCCTAAAAACCACAGAAACAACTTAGAATCCCGTAGTCAATGTTACAGCAAAGATTTCTGATACCTTGATTGGGCTGTGGACTGAACGGTGTCCGTTGGGTAGAATTCTGCTGCTGTGCCTGCATCATTGGCTGTGAAAATCCCGGACTCAATTGAGCATCTGAAACTACACTCGTACTTCTCTGAAGCGACACATTAGGCGCCACAGTGTTGTTCAATAGGGATTCTATATTGGTCATCCCAGGATTTAGACCTGAAAGTACATTTGTGCAATAAGTATGTGAATTCACCGCAAAGTCAAATGATGTAAACGATTTGCCAATATTTTCGAAAAGAACACTCACACAACTGATCAGCTCCTGCTGTCGCATTAACCGGAACAACCATTTGTTGCTTCTGCTGCTGCTGCAACAGCCTCTCGCGCTGTTCCTTCTGCTGCTGCTGCTGCATCAAGCGATGTTGCTGCATCAGCTGAAATCTCGCAGCTGTAATCTGCTGTTGCTGATGGCCTGCTGGCAGCATCTGAGGCATCCTCTGAGAGCGCTGTGAATAGATTGGCGGTGGTGCCGGGAATCCCTGACTCTGCTGATGCGTGGTAACAGAGCCACTGGGTGACGGTCCGGAATGCATAGCAGGATACGCCGGTGGACTGCTGTTGAACACCGTATTGTTCTCAAACTGCATCAGAGACTTCTGAATGGCATTTATCATGAGCTTTTCGTTAAGATCCTGCTGCTGACTCTGGACTGGCGCCGATGTCACCGAGGAGGTGTCTATTGTACTAATAGCTGATGGAGAAAAGACATTTGGTTAAATTCATGGCTATACATTTTGGAGAAAATAGAAGATCTTACCGGTGCCTAGGATATTGTTGAGGTCATTGTCGGGATAGTTTGTATCTGGTACAATGTCTATAACTTCATTTAGAATCTCAGACAACTCCGGATCCCATTCCTGGTGGGGCTGGGATGGAGTTACGGCAGTCGATGTAGCGAATGAACCTGACTCCACCTGAAAATCCTGTGGATGTGATACTGGCGCTTGCATCACCTGCAGAAAACAGTCATGATTAATCTTCCTTTCATTCCTACACACTCACGCAAGCATTAACTCACTTGCTGATTCTTGCTAATATCCTGCTGACTTGGCATTTGGTTGAGGTAGACATCGGAAGGCTTGCGAATTGATGGCGGAGGCGGTCGAACTTGGTTCAACGGTTGTACTATCTGTTTTTGGTTGTTGCTACTTGTGTTATTGTTGCTCATGATGGTATTGTTGTTGGTGAGATGCTGCTGCTGGTTATTTGTCACCCGCGAATTAATACTGGACGGCGTTATATCGGGAATTATCTTCACTTGCATGGCCGTCGAAGGGAGAACCGTTGTTGGAGCTTTCGACGGATTGGCCAGCAGTGATGCCAGCATCTTGTTCTTCTCACGCAGCAGCGATGGCTTCTCCTCCGATCTTTTAGCCGCCCCACCCTCATCTGGCTCATTCGACGAGCGCTTGCGGCCGTAATCGTTGCCTTGGAACCGCAACAGCTGGATCAATTCCTCATTCCCGATCTGCTGATTGCCATGATTGTGCTCCTTTGGCGTGTCCTCCTTCGGATTCAATTTCTGACATTTATTATTGTACAACTTTGTCTCACACTCACTCACCTTCTGTAGCTGCCGCAAGAGCTCACTGGGCACACGATTCCCTCTTGCTTCTGGATCATCTTCATCACTCTTGTCATTGAGAAGCTGTAAGAAATTGCACATCTTACTCAACAAATCTCTCAAGTCAATTCTAAATATTACTCCTACCTGCAGCAGCATGTTATTGTTGTTGCTCTTGCTCTCAGGGACTGGTCTCTGCCGGCCGGGCGGCATCCTTACCGGCCCAGCACCTGTGTTCATCTTTCCATACGCTGGATTCGCCGCATCCTTGTCCTCCTCAGCATTGAGGAGACCCTGGGACGACACAAACTTCAGATGAGTCTCAGGAGGCACTCTTGCCACCTGGCCACTCACCTTCAGTATCCGATTGGTGTTGCGCGTGGCAGCGTCAGTCTCCATGGCACTCGTGCCAGCCGCTCCGATTGGCTGGCCCCGCTTCGTCGTAAGCAAGTTCCTCAGCCTCTCGGAGTCGTGATTCTGACCCGCTTGCTGCTGTGCCATACCATCCATCTGACACTTGTCCTTCTCCTCAAAGCTACCTCCAAAATTGCCGAAATTCCCACTAAAGCTGGCATTCGTGTTGTTGTTCACGCTGCTGCTGTTGTTGTTGTTCTGCGGACTTACCTGACCTCCAGCATTGCCAGCATGGTAAGTCAGCGGTGAGGGACAGATGGGGGCTGCCACAGGGCTGTAAGCCGACACTGACGGTGGCCGAGGAGTGCTTACAGGTGTCACGCTGGCCCTGGAGTCGGGCCGGGTATCCCAGGCCACGCCCACGGCATCCATGTCCAAGATAGTCGAATGGGGTATGTCGAAGTCGATGAGGGATTCCGTGGCGAAGAAATTACTGCAATCTGAGGCGGGTGGACTGGAGAAGGACGTGACGACGCTAGTAGAGCGTGCCGTGGATGCTTGCAGACCACCAACACCACCATTCATCACGCTCGTCATTAGCGGTCCACCCATGCTACTGCTTCCACTATTGCCAGATCCACCAGCAGCAAGGTGAGACGCCAGTCCAGCCACACCGGACCCCATAAGTCCACCCGCTATCTGCGACGTCTCTGCATCTCCATCCATGAGAATCGTGTGCACAGCCATGATGAAATCACTCTCGCCGTGAATAGTGCTCCGGAACATCTTGGACGTTACCTTCACATGGATATAGACATCCGGGCCACCTAGCCTAAGTCGGTAGGCCGAGGAGTACGCCATAGAATTGGTACCCTGTGTGACCTCCTTGAGATGCATTTTCAGCAGATGCTGATCCTGCACGTGACAGAGATCCTGAATTGATCTCAATGGCTCTTTGGCTAGATTCTGGGCGAATGTATCGCGCAGAGTGCTTGCATCGAGATTTATAATCTTCCCACTTGTTTCAATTTTCAGTGTCAATTGCTCGAGATCGCGCTGAGGCAGTGTCGATCCACTCTCCAGTGGCCCATCATCCTCTGGCCTCGTGATCAAGCACAGTACTGACGAGCATTCATCCCCGTCATCCTTCACGGGTGCCGCAATGATTACCACCTCCTCGTACTTATCCATCCGCTGTTGCTTCTGCTCAATAGTCTCTCCAGCCGCCTCTGGATGCTTCACCAGCATCCGTATTCGTGTCTTGATGGACTTCTTGCCAGCCTGATTGCTCGCTGCACTCTGCGCCTGCTGTTGTGGTGACTGTGAGTCCTCCTCTGTGCCACCCCAACCAACCGCGAAGGACATGTTGTTAAGAATGGGACTTAACTTCCCATGATCTCCCGGATGCAGGTACGAATAGATTGACTGTCGACTGAGCTCCGCTCGCGTAAACGTAATCAAGTCCTTTATGTTCTCCGTCACACACTCGATAATACCCTCGGCATTGATCTCCAACAACACCCAGCCCGCCGACGAGATGTAGTGCTCCACGGCCTCAAAATATGCCGATATCTCTGGTGACTGGCCGTTCACTGAGGGTTCCGGCAGTGGTGGTTCTGTGGAGGACACATCACCTTGCTGCACCGGATGAACTGTGCACGAATCAGCACAGTCAGGCGGACATTTGGTACATCTGGACGATGACAGATCGCGACTGCCCTTCTCCAGCAAAGTGCGAAACTGCAAAAAAAGAACAAAGGGTAAGCATAATCAGTTCAATTTTAAACAAAGCCAATACTCACCGTCTTAACCACTTCATTCAGAATGGCCGCCTTGTCGGGCTTGCAAGAGGTCATGTCGCGCTTGTTAATCTGCAGGAACTCGCCCAGTTGCTCGATGTACTCATTCTCAAGCTCACGGCGTCTCTTCTCATTGTTGCACTTGTTGATCTGCGACTGTGGCTTATTCTCCTGCTTCCTGCGGATCTTCTTCGTGGCAGCATTTGTTGGCGGGCACGCCACCGCCGGCGCCACGGCGTTCATTATTTTCGACGACTGCTGCAATGGCGAGTGCTGCTGCGGCGCCCCGTGGTGATGGAGCCCCGCAAGTGCAGCCGTTGTCGCTGGAGACGCCAGCGAAAGTGGAATGACGCCACCCGCGGACGTCGTGGCGACGGAGTGTGACTGAAGATGCGATAATTGGGTGTGGGAATGGGTGACCCACTGATCCGGCAGAGGTAGATCACACGGGCCAAGCCTGCAAGAGAGCCAAAGGAAACACAGCAATTAGAAAGACGAAAAAAATGTGTGGCAACAAGAGAGCTTCTGAGACACTGGCTTTTGTTTCTTATCATCAACACGCGATAACCAGTGATTAATCTCACCACACACGCACCCTTCAAATGATAAAGCACCACCATTTCTGTACACAAATCCTCGCCATTTATTGCCAATTCATCTGAAACATTTTTTTTCTATTCTGGCCTACACATCATTTTTCGTCACAACCAACTTATAAGAGTTGCATAAGAAGGACGCGCCAAATCAGCAAAAATCACTCTCTGTGCAAACAAGCGGCCGACACTGAAAACGAAAGTGGACGAGAAAGTGTGAAGATGAGACTGCTCAAGGTAGATTGAAATTAGAAAGTTTTTCACACGACTTTTTCCATCAAAATCAATTGCCATTGAAACGCATTTGCCAACTTTTCTCCCTCCCAGAGACCAATATCATCAACAGAGGCATATTGAGTGGAAAAGTTGCACATCTAATTGCTATTCACTCGCCATGTTGATTGATGAAAATAATGTACAAGGGGAAAAATTTACATTACATTCTGCACCGGGAATTATGAGTACATGTGAAAATTAATTTTACTTTTTGAGTAAAATTTATTGCCCCATTTTTTGTTTCCATCTGTTCAAACACACACGTGTGCATATATATCTACCAAGCCTATCAAAAAAAAAACAATAAAGTACTCCTCTATAAATAAACTAGTTTTAAATTCAAAAATATTTTAAATCAATATTGCGTTTTTTTTTTTTTTTTGCAAACATTTACCCTCAATACATTAATTAGAAATATTATCAATTAAAACATATTATTTATGAGAATTTATATTAAAAAAAAAACTATTACAATATATCAAAATAACATACTATAAAGGTCGAAGAAACTTTGAAAATTTTGAAAACTATACTATTAAATATTTTATTCTTCATTATGAAGAAAATATCCATAAATTTATTTCATGATAACCATCTCATAATTGAAGAATTTTCTGTAAATCTATTGTTTCCATAAAGTCACACAGTGTCTCTGTGACCATCTGAAAGTCTTTTTCTCTGTTCATTGTCCTATCAATCGGGATTCCTCGGCAGCCTGTGGAAAAGTTCCTCAGGCAAATTTTCCATTGTCCTGCTTGGGAAAATCCCCACAAAATATTTCCACGCCTGCCAGCGAGGGCGTCAATTACAGAGGATTTGTCGCGCAAATAGACAAACAATTATCGCGCCACCCCACTTTGCAGGGCCTGCGACCGGTGTGGCAAGTCTGGGGGCGCCAGACTGTTGCTATAACGACAAAGAAACCTAGCATCTTCCTTCTGATCTCAATGTGTTTTCACTTCCACGTGCGAAGGCGAACCGGCGACCAAATTGCCGCTCTCTGCGACTGCATAATAATGCAAGTGTTACGTAGCTCGTGTTTGTATCATTTCGATTGAAACTGAGTGCGCGAATTCACCTATACCGCGACGCCACAAAACGGTGTCAGTAGGTCAGAGTCGTGTTCATTTGGTTGCGGATCTGGAGTAAGGCCAATAATATACCAACAATTTTGTGTTCAGCATCTTCTGAATCACCATCGAGCGCCTCACACTCACACATACTTTCGGTGCTCATCCATCTCAATAGCGAAGCGAACGTGAAAAATTCTAGACAAATTTTCCACCTGTCCTTACGTGCAAATTTTCCACCCAGATATTTCGCACAAAGTTAAGTGAAGAACAGGAGAGAATACAAAAGGCACAAGCACACACCTAAGCACCGTGCCATTCCCGCAATTGCGTATTTTATTGTCCTACTCCTCCCACTCGAACTCAGCGATAAATTTCGATATGGCAAGAGTGAGAGAGAGAGAGAGAAAATTATTGTTATTATTGAAGGGGAGAAGCGTAGGAAGGCAACAAATGTGACATCTCACAAGTCTCAGAAACACATCACATACAGCATCTTTCTCCCCAGCTCCACAGAATGAAATACACTCAAATTATATTTAATCATTCCGAATGATGAATCCCACAGATTTTCTCTCAATCTGAAGATCCAACAGTGAGTGGTCAAAATATCTGATCAAATGACTCGAAATCACTCTATAAGTAGAAGCAACACTTTGCCCATAACTCATTCATTCCTTCTCTAATCAATAAAACAACAACAGAAAATCATTAAGGAATTGTTGAAAATCAGTCAGAAGCAACAAACCAAGTGATTTCCCTCACGAGACCTTCAAATAATAAATACATTTAATTCACGCTTCAGAATTCAATGGGCGCCCGAAGAAAGACATTTTGCAGATAAAATGTACTTCGCATGTTATCCTTTTTTGTACAACACAACCAAGGCATTGATGGGTCATTAAGCACAGCAACAATTGTGATGTTCACAATGTGCAAACTTCAAGACGTCCCCAAGAGACTGACTTCCGACAAAGATGTCTACCGAAATGAGGGTGGAAAATCCCATGGGTTGAAAAATTCAACAAGAATTTGCCTTACGAAAAGAGAAAAAGAAATTAATGTTTTTTCAAGGGATACAGGGTGGAATATATACACAATGGGACCTTATTGAACACACTGACTATTTGCACACTTTATATGAGTGTTAAATAAACTAATACTTTTCAAAATATTTAGTCTAAACGATATTAGTAAACTTTTCGGACAAAATTAGTCACTATATTAATTTCACAATTTCATATTTTCTTTAGTTCTGTCACTAATTTGTCATTAACACTTGAAATCCAAAAAATAATATCATATCACAAAGTCACTTGATTATATTTGTGATATAGTACAATATCTCTGTGCTGAATCTAATCTTTATCATGTATTTTTCCTCTTCTTTTATGAGTGAATTTCAGTGAATTGTGTAATTCGATGTTTTGAGATTAGGATCTTGAAATTTTTCTTTGTTAGTCTCGCACACCGTTTTTTCCCACGTTTGTGCCGTCTTAGAAGTATGTGTTATGCTGAAACTCTAGTTAGTGATTGTGTGTAGTAAAGGAAAAAAGCAACTAATTTGCTAAAACGGGCGCGCAAAAAAGAACAGTGTAATTCATCAATAAATGAATGTTTTTTAGGGAAGGCGCAAAAGGGTGGGGATATAAAATAGAGACTCCTCTGTTCAACAACAGTTAAATTACTATTCCACTTGCTTACCATTCATTATGTAACCGAGACTCGTGTGTAGGTAAAAGATAATAGAAAGAGAAATAATTATGTATGGAAATTTTGCGTAGTTTTCCTCATGTTTTCGTCTTTATGCCTGTCTTCTCTCCGCCTTGTGTTGTGCCTCTCAAAACGGTGACTAGACACTTGAACTCAAGGAGGGAATATCTGGGCAATCTTACGTCTGGAAAACGTATTTTACAAATATTTACTGATTCTCTAAATATAACGACTTTTATTAAAAATCGTGCTCAGTTCTTAATTTATTCTCATTGTTGCAACTCTTCTTGAGCCGCTATATTCCTCTTTCTTGAACTACATGCCATCGAGCAACAAATCTTTAAGATTATGGCAATTTAACAGTACATCAGACGTTTTTCTTACGTCTTTTTCAAGAAATCTCTTTTTTCTTACAGACCACTTCCACTCAATTGTAAGATAGAAACAAGTTCCCCAAAGCACACAGCACAGACACCTAAAACTCGTACGACTTTGCAAGAATGGAAATTCTTTTATGAAGCAATTGTCAAAGAATTTGTTCTCGCCAGCTGAAGCTTTGTCTACCACATATTTTTGCATTTTGAGACCCAATGCCAGTTGAAAAAGGCAATTATCCATCCACACTAAGTACAATTTCACCGAGTCAACAATATTCTGTAGTATTCTCTATGCCTTATCGAGTCTGATTTCACACACAGTTCAGCAGAAACGAAATTACACATCAGTCTTTTTCGGCCAGAGAAACAATTATATACTTCTTCACTCGCCTTTTCTTTACATTTTTGCCCAATTTGGTTGTTGAAGAAATAAAAAAAATGTGCTGAGATAAAAAATGCATAAAACAGAGGAAAAAAAATAATTGGGTCACGGATGAAATCAATGTGGGTCATAGAATAGATTTTATTTTAACATTTTCAGACTGGCGTAACTCTTTTTTATCGTTTTCTGCCTCTCATTCGAATTTTATGCAATTCTCTGTTATTTTTTGATGAATGTGCTAAAGGATTGCTTGCGTAGCCAGCAAGGTAATGACGGACTTCAGAGGAATCCCTCAAGAAGCACCATAAAACAATAATAATAACAACTTTCTTCTCACCACCTTGCAATTATCAGGTGAATCGACAGAGAAAGCATTCAGCGCAGTATAAAGCTTAAATTGATGAAATCGTGATGCAGAGCAAAAATATTCGCGATTCACGTTCACTTTTAAGGTCTCGGTTTCATGATTGAATCACCATTTGGTCATGCAGCTCATATGGAAAACGTTCGATGGAGAAAAAGACGAGACATACATAAGGAAGACAAAGAGCGAAAAAATATACAGCTAACTTCAAGTTCGTTACATAAAATTACACCACACAGAGACAATTAATTTGATTGAAATCGCTTTCATATTACATCTATGTCTATACAACAATATAACCCCGCGTTAATCGATTCGTGCTTTTTTGCAGTACCTTCTCTGTCTTTCACTCCTAATTTTGTGCTGAAATCTACAAGGAATGTCACTCCTTTCTCGTTCAAAGGCTGTTTTATTTTACTTTATCATCTTGTTCAATTGAAATTATTACGAATTTTTGGCTAATCGTGAAGAAAGAAAAGGAAAAAGTTAAAGAAAATATATCGAAAACATGTGCAAACTTCCCATTGAAAAAGTTTCTTTAGGCTCCAATGAATATCCTTCCTTTGAAATAAATCTCCTCCAAAGTGTGCAATAAATTTCGCCCCAAAGTAACAACTAATAGCAAAAATGTCTCATCACATCAACCTTCAGAGAGAAGCATAATGAGATCACACAAATTTCT